GCAATGCCATGTCCTTGTGGAGTAGCTCAGTGAGTCACTCCACGAGGACTCACACATGCAAGACTGTCACCAATTGCATACATGCTCTATGGTCCTTTGAAATAAGCTGCACATTCAACTCCACATGGCACTGCCACTTATCCATGTCCCTGGGGAGTGCCAGAGCAAACATGTATGACACAGAAATCACAATAGCGTGATGCATCAAATGATGCATCGTCTTGATTAAGTGATGTGATTAAGGCAGCGTCTGGGATGCTCCCGGACGTAGGTTCGAATCCTCGTCACGGCCCTTGTGGATTTGTTCAAACAGGTATGTCCTAGAGCAGAGCAAAAGAAGCACCACCTAAGAAAATTTGAAAGACAGAACCTCCTGTCAATCAAGCATATGGGTCTGACAGAATCCCTACCAAGTCTCAAAGGAAAAGAGAGGGTTGCCAGCCATCCAGGATGAACCTGAAACCTCACAGTGCAGCCACTGAGACAGGCCCATAGTCATAAAGAGGCTGGATTCATCAATGAAAAGAGGTTTGAGTTCTATAGGAGATACTAAAGCAAGTAAGTGTGAACCACTGAATCCAAAATGCAGGAAGACAGGAAACATTCAGAAATACATCCAGAAATATTTCCATTTCTGGAAACATCCAGAAATACAATATAACTCCAAAGCACTGAATGGGATCTGGAATCAAACCCGAGGGGAAGCAGTTGAGTATTCATACTCATATATAGAGGAGGGGCAAGAACCCTTCCCCACCTCCAAAACAAAAAGAGCCTCTGCAGAGGGAACTAAGGTCCAAAAAAGTGCCCTTAGAACCTCCTTGGGTTTCCTGTCAGCCTCAGAAGCCTGCCATGAAGGCTCCAGGGCAGGGACATAGTCGACACCTAATATAATACCTGCAACAGAAAGACAGATGTCAGGAAGAATGTCAGGAGCAGAGAATGGGAAGGGTGATAGTGAAGGTGCCTGTCACAAAACCCCAGTGGGACCAGAAGTCTCAGCTGTCTCCACCATGAAAATGGATGGGGTCACCCCTGGTGAAGGCTGAGCTAGAATCTGACCCGACTGAAACCCTCAGACACTTCAGAACCCTAACCAAGGGGAAAGAACAGAAGCAGGGTGAACCTCACCCACTGGAAAAAAAGGAGGAGGTGCAAACTTAGTTCAAGTGAAGGATACCAATATCTCCAATTCTGTGTCCCTAAACTCCATAAGGGCCAACTTTGGGGCTTCCAGACAATATGCCAAGAATGCCTAACTCTTGCAAACCTAGCTTGCAAAGCGGTAGCTGCCTGGAAAGCTTCTAGACCTAAAGCTGAATCAGTAAGGGCAGACACAGTGAGAACAAACTTCACAGGACTTGTGGTAATAGGTGTCACTGATCTAGCAAGCAGCATGGCAGAGGCAGAATGATCATTGTCAGGCAGCAAAGACAATGAACACCCATCAAGCTTACATTTGGTGAGCACAGGCTTGATGGGCCAATCCAGAGACCCTATGAGGGGATTACCAGGGCTTGGAGGTAGCTAACAAAGTAGAAACTCCAGGCACAAGGGCCACTCACTTGAAGAATAGTTACCAAACACAGAGGCTACAATGGGCGAGTGAGGCATGCTCTATAAATAAACACACAAATTCCAGTGCACCCAGAGCAACAAAAGGATGCCATAATCAAAGGCCCAAACAGGAGTGGCCTGGCCTCATAGGGACAAACTCCTGAACATGTCAAATCAGTACAAGAGCAATGCTAGTGGGCCTTCATAGAAGAAAACCCTGAGTGTATGGAACCCAAAGCACAACAAAGGCCAAACCTGCACAGTAAGCCACAGAATAAACACAAGTGATGCTAATACTAAAATAAAGGAACAACACAGTAAATGGTCCTTGGAAAACAAAGTCCAAGAATGGTTAGCACTCAGCTTGAAGCAGAGGAGCTTGCCCATGACTGGCAGACCACAGCACTACAGGTAGCAGTAGCCACCAGAACCGAGATGGGAAGCTGACTGATGGCAGGGCCAGCCACATTGTGTGGCAATTTGTATTTATATTTCGACCTAGTTTGAATGAATTCCTTGTTCCATGTGAATTGCCTGCAGAGTTGTTTGGCAGTTATGAGGCTTTGTTTTTTGTGAACCCTCCAGTTGTCTGTAAAGCTTCGCTGACTTTTTGGATGCTTTCCCATTCAGGTGGCAAAGTGTCATTTGCTACTAGCGCTCGCCTATGTGATGGGGAGGAGAGGGGGGGGGGGTCAGACCCTGTTCTAGGCCCCAGGTGGCCAAACAGAACTTCTGCAACTGAAGTGACCAATTAGTTTGGAGCAATCTCAGCAAGATAGCTTCAAGGAGCCACCAGAGGCTCCCCAGAATAAAGATACAGTATTACAATGGCTTGAATAATTACCATGAGCATAGGTTGTCTCACTAGACAAGGTCTTTCTAAACACTTTTAGAAATTTATCTAGAAACCTTATTCCTGGAAATTTATAAGAATTTCTATACAGGGGCAGTTTTGTGAGCTTTGAACTTTGCAATTATCTTTCACTGTTCTGAAGTATAAAAAATCAACTAGTAAATATTGGCAAAAATTCAAATGTTTATAATGAAATATGCATAGAAAATCAGTCTACTGTATATTTACTTGAGAGGATTCTTAAATTAAGCAAGGTGCTTTTGTATGGAATTAAAAAGAATTTTATATCTTTGCTATGATTTAAGTACTAATTTTGATCATTAAATGTAAACACACACACACAATACAATGATGCTATTGTAAACCATATCAGTATCATGGGGAAGGGAAGGGACCACCTGCAGTAAAAAATTATCAATACTTGTCAACTGTATTTAAAACAAACCTATTAATAAAATATTCCACAGAATAAGCATTTATTGTTAGGAAAACGACAACTGTTGCCCTCTCCATATAATATAATATTGCAATTACAAAATGGACAAGAATTATTATGAAGTTAGCACCTTCCAAGTCCACTTCCTCAGAAGGATAATGTTGTTTTTAAAGACAATGATTTTATTAATTTAGGAAAAAAGGTATTCACTATGTATTGAAGTTACCTTAAGGAAATTAACTGCAGTAACTTTAATATAATGTTGAACAAACTGTACATAATACAGGAGAGTTTAAATTAAAACCTTATAATCCAGTAGATTTACAGTATATAAGAATAATGACAGTATCCCAGACCAAAAGGTCCAAGACTCAATATAATGTTGACCATCTTGCATGACACATGGCAAGCACCTGCCTTGACGCAACATTTACCACCCGAGGCTCTGCACAGGTGACCTGCAGTGCTTAGTGCAGTCACCATGCTACAGATTGAACCAGTGTTCAATTTCTGGGCTGAGGCAGATGTCTGGGCATCTTTCATTACAACTGATGCCTCTGTTCACCTAGCAGGAAATAGGTACCAGTGAGTCATGTGACGTGTGGGTTGCATTCTTCAAGGATGCAAGGTAACCTTGATAAGTCTAACAGGCTTTCTGTCCCTGACAATGAGAAATGATTACGAAAGAGTTTAGCTCTTGATTGAAAATTTGTCAGGTGCCTCAGTTAACTGAAATAGTATTCACAGCCAACCATCCACTTAATTATGGTGGTTCCTAATGTACATACAGTACACTTATGTCTCTAGTTTTACATGTTAAGGCTAAGTAAGCCCATATATTTATTAATTCTTAATACAATATAAATAAATATCGGTAACAATCAATGAACATAAAATGGGGCTGTAAATTCCATTTAGAAACTCCTTATTTTATATTACATATTTCTGAGTTTTCATATTTTTGGTTTCTGATATGATTTACAGAAATACTTAAATTTTGAAACAAATGCTTCCCAAGCCCCACACACAAAGTAATCTCACATTCAGCTACTGAGGAACCAAGAGTATGGTAACTGTGCCCACTTGTTACTGTGTCTTCACTCCAGCTCAAATTATTAAAATCTCACATAATTAACTTGATACTAGAAAAAACAGCGTTAAATGTAATGAAATGCCATTTTCTGGATTGAGCACCGGAGACTCCCTGAAACCTACGTTGTGTGTTTTCCCCCCAGAAAAAAAAAAATTACCTGGTAAAAGTAATGAAATGCCTTTTGCTGGTGAGGCTCTCAATAGTCCAGCCAAGCAGTTGGAAATGCACCATGTTTAAGTTGTTTTTACTGCACCAAAAGTCATTTGTCATGTTGCTTGAGGATTTTTTTTTTTTTTTTTTTTTTTTTTTTAGGCAGTGGCTCGTTTTGTTGTGCTCATGCTTTTCGGTGTTTTCTTTAAGTTTTGGGTCTATTTGTAATGCTCAAGCTGCCCTGGCCTCATAGAACACTAGACTCTGTTCCTGACTCTCAACAGGCAAGGTTGAGTCTCAAAGACCTGGAGCATCTCTGTGCAGCTTGGCTGGGCCAGCACTTACCTCAGGCAGCTACTGAGATAGCCTTCCTAGATATTGGCCAAAGAATTTGGAATATAATTGTGTATGATCAAGCTATACAATATGTGCATCAGCGAGTGTGTTTTTATTTTTTTTTTTTTTTTTACTATTTGTGTCTGCAGAATTGAGCTATTAGCTCTTGGACCTGGCCTTTTTAACCAATCTATTTTCCTCTATTATATCTACTACATAAATTTTTCTCTCACACACACACACACATTCCCAGGAACTGTCTACCTATTTACTGCTAGGTAAACAGGGACATCAGGGTGACAAACTCTGCACATTTGTTTCCGCTTCAGCCGGAAATCGAACCCAGGGCCCTTAGGAGTACGACACCCAAGTGCTGTCCACTCAGCCACGAGGCCGCTCTGAGTGCGTGTGTGTGTGTGTGTGTGTGTGTGTGTGTGTGTGTGTGTGTGTGTGTGTGTGTACTCACCTATTTGTATTCACCTGGTTGTGCTTGCGGGGGTTGAGCTCTGCTCTTTCGGCTTGCCTCTCAACTGTCAATCAATCAACTGTTACTAACTACTAACTTTTTTTTAGCATTGTGTGTGTGTGTGTGTGTGTGTGTGTGTGTGTGTGTGTGTGTGTGTGTGTGTGTGTGTGTGTGTGTGTGTGTGTGTGTGTGTGTGTGTTTGTTTTTAACTACACAAAATTTAATCCTCAACTTCAAGGACAAATCTTGCAAGTTAATATAAGCAAAATACAAAAATTACGTAAGACCCACAATTTCCAACACAGCTGGAATGTAGGAGAAAGAGTCCCCCTTTGTAAGACTATTGAATAGTAATTACATTATATGAGTATGACATTAACAAGCTGTTTCATAAAAAATTGTCAAAATTTGAAATAAAATGCAAGTACTTATAATTTGTGAAGCATTACTTGGTGATAAAATCACACAGCATTTTATATATATATATATATACATACAGAAGGGCAATAATATCATTACACTTTATGTATCACATTCATACATCCTTCAATAACTATAAAATCTATAAATGACTAAAGAATCTTATCACTGTGCACAGTTGATTTAAAAATGTACATACTACTCACTCTGTATAAAAGCCATTACATTCTTCCCTGACACCCAAACATATTCTTTACTATAGATAAATTTACTGATAGGGTTGACATCACCTAGCAGGGTGATAATGACTAGTAAACTAGATCATATTCTAAAAACTGAGATTAATAACCATATTTTGAATCTCCCTTGATGCTGCTATGCATCACATAATTTGTTCACAGCTTTTCTTCTTTTGATAATTACTTTATTACTTGGACACAGCTTCTCATTATGAACATCACACCTTGTTCAAAAATTTTTGTTTTGTTCCTTCCCTCCCATAGAAAATGGCCTTAGATGGTGTATCACTAACTTAGCTGGAGAATTTTTTTTAAATTTTATTAGAAAATATAGACTTCAGCCTTACATTTTATAATACTGTAAAAGATGTTGATACAAATAATGAACGGCCAATTTCCCCATAACTTCCTTACTGCATTTATGAGATTACAATCAGTTAATTAAAATATTTTTGGTTTTAGTAATATGTATATAAATACTAAGTCTAAATACAAAAACTGAGTGTCCCCTAAAAAAAGTAGACAGAGTATTTTTTCTAATGATATTTTATAGGTACTGTACAGTAATATGTAAATAAATGCCATTTTGGGTGGGAGAAAATTCAATGTATATAATTTTGCTTTTATAGATGATGTACTTATTTAACAACTTCTACATAAAAAAAAAAAAACAGCATTGAATGTAAAGAAATGTAATTTTCTGGGTGAGCCCCGGAGGCTCCCTGGAGCTATTGGGCTAATATTTGATACATTAGACCAGAGCTTTAGTCAATGGAGTTCTGCATACCATGGACCACAAGCCAGAACCTGGCCCCCTCAGAAAGATACAGGGAGCACTGGCCCTGGAAAATCTTCATGTAGTTGGGGGCTTACCTTATCTGCCATTGACTGTGGTTAGGCACCCAGAAAGGTAGGCATAACAAAACAGACCCCACAAGGTAAGAAAAATGCAAATGTAAGTCGAACAGAGAGGTAGAACTTCAATTCCCAGGGAAACAGGGAAACAAGCAAACACCACACAACCTCGTCGCATCCGGCGCATCCCCGGCCACAGAAGCCGAGGTGTGCAGGCAACTGCAAAGAGCCGCAACCGGACAACACATGATGCACCCGATCCCCGGCCTGACCAACCAAGCATCAATGACCCCAAGGACCCCTCTGGAAAGCAGTCGTCTCATTCTTCTCCAGAAAATTAGGTCAAAAGCTGCAACCGAACAAACAAACTACCAGGACCAAAGGAATAGAAACCCCCTGCGCTGGAGCAGAGCATGAAGCTCACCGTCATAACCCCCAGAGGCTAATGCCAATATAAAGAGATCCTCGGAAAAACAATCTTGAACCAAAGGGGCCACCAGAACTGAGGAGAAGAGAGATAGGGGAGCACCCTGTCCAAGAACCAGTGAAGCCCAGGTGGCGCATGAGCAGGCCGGAGGTGTAACAAAGCATGAGAAAGCTTATGGAATGGGGCAGGAGTGACATTGACCCCGAACGCAAGCTACAGCGGCTCCGCCAACGCCGCACGATATGAGGTGACATTAGTAGGCATTAAATGACAGTCCTGAAGGAGCCAAGACAGAAAGGACAAGACAACCCAATCAGAAACAGAAGACAACTGACAAAGAGAGAGAAAATGGCAAAAAGAATGCCAGGAAATTTCAAATTGTCGCCAAAACGAAGCTCTCGGGTGGGACACCTTCAACAAACCCACCTGATCACCAAATAAATGACCCGACATGTACCAGACCGGTCCGTGCTGCTGAAAGAGGCGGAGCCGTGGACCTAAGGACCTTTCCTAAGAGTCGAAGCCTAGTTATGGACACTGAGCAAGCAGCGCCTGAAACCAAGGCTGTGCTGGCCACCAAGTGGCCCCTAGGATGACTCTCCCATGGGAAGACTCCAACCGAGCCATAACCTGAAGCAACAGCCGAACCGGGAAAGAGGTACAGGGAACCCCACCTCGACCAGTCCTGCCGAAGAGCGTCCACTATGAATGCCCCGCAATTGGGGAAGGGCACCACATAACTTAGTAATGTTCCCTAGTTATCACACCACGCAACAGCGTGGTGTGATGTTTGCTTGTTTCTTTGGGAATTGAGGGAGTTCTACTTCTCTGCTCGACTTTCGCTTGTATTTTTCTTACCCTGCGGGATCTGTTTTGTTACACGTACCTTTTTGGGTGCCTAGTCCCAGTCGATGGCAGATAAAGTAAACTCCCAACCACAGGGGAGATTTTCCAGGGCCATTACTCCCTGCACCTCTCTGAGGGGGCCCAGGTCCTGGCTCGTGGTCCACGGTAAGCAGAACTCCTTTGACTAAAGCCTGGTCTAATGTATCACATATTAACCTGATGGCTCCAGTTAGCCGAAGGGGCTCCCCACAGAAAAGTAATTTGCACACAAGCTATCCCGAAATATTTGTTATAATTTTCAGTATTAATATTTTGGTAAAGTTACATAAAACAGATAGTTAATGTATAAGAACTTAAAACAGTGGATGTAATATATTTAATTAAATATACAAAATTTATTTTGGCTGGACCTGGTGTCCATGAGGACTCTGGAGGTCACCCCCCCCAAAAATCTGGCTAACTCTACTTCCTAGGGACATAAAAGGAGAGTCCAGTCATAATTAAGTAATTTAAAAGTTCCATAAAACTCATCCTTTGACAAGGGAATTAATCACTCTCAAATATGAATACCATTATCACATTTTACTTTAAATTAAGAACAATTAATGAAGGAAGACACATTACAAATGTAAAAATAATACAAATTTTGCAAATAATTCTTTTTTAAACAAAGGCATTAAAATATAAGACTACAAATGCATAAATTCTTATAATGGGAAATATAAAAGTTCTAACTACATTTAAACATTAAGGCCACCCTATGACAAGGCATTATGTCCTTGTTTGTGACATTAAGAAGCATATCTAGTTCACTGTCCTTTCCACATTTCCCGATTCATTTATGAATCAGCTTTTTCTAGTCTCTTGTGAATGCTAGTCACCATTAAATGCCTCAGAATTGGACTTTCATGACTAGAATCAAAATTGTTTTACTTTATGAACAGCGCACATAAAATCTCTATGCATATTTTCTGATAACTTAGTTGGAAATTAAGAAATCTTCAATATATATATAATTTTTTTTTTTAATATTAGCTATTACCTATGTGTTTGTAGTAACTATGATTTTAAACCATAACAATTAATTGTTTTGAGTGTTTTCACATTTCTTAATGTAACCAATTTTTAGTACTTTGTCATTCACGACTTCCATTTACTTGTGTTGTTATAATACTTTTAAGTCAAATGGCTTGCATATATTCATTGTTTCCTATATCTGATATAATCCAATTTGATTCACCACTTTCCTGAAGGCCTTAAATAATGATCATCCACATAAAATGAAGACAAACCCACTGTTTTAATGTCAAAGTGGCATCGTGATGCCCGGTATTGTATCACATGAGTAAGTATCTAGTATTGCAGCAGCACCATACATACATCCTTCATATACTGTACACCAGTTTTCCTCACCTATTCACAATCTACACGTTAATAACCTGACACCTACTCAGCACATAAATAATGTCAGCTCCATCACACTGATCAAGTAATTGGTCTGATTTTTGTCAAGAATAAACTACTATTATGCAGAAAACACTTATAAAATAATATTACTGCCTAATTATTGCATTAACAAATTAATGCTTGTCTCTTGTGAATGAATTGTCAAGATTCTGAATTCTTGACAATGCACCTGCTTGGCATTCAGGTAATTACTTGCAAAATTAATGAACAGTGAAATATAAAACAAATGGTCATTATACAATATAAATATCCAATACAAAACTCTCTTCACCAAAGCAAATCAAACCACTACTCTCACTTGGGTACTTGATCTTTAAGGTACAGTACCTAAGATGCATGCACATGTAATAAATATTATACATGGTTAATGTATATATAAATACTAGATGATCATCCGATATAAAATTAAAATTTTAATTCAATAGCAAACTGACTGTTAATTAATTAACACTTTCGCCTGGGGACAACGCAGTATGGCATCAAAAATTTATTAGACGAATGTGTGGGAATGACACATCCGTGGGTCAAAAATTGAAAATGCATGGCCTGCTTTTGGCTTTGCTGCGGGTGGGGCACGCCACGGTTTAGGACATTATATGCACATACAGTACTCCTATAGGGAATTCTATTGTGAGCACATTGATACCAAAATGAAAGACCTAGGACAAGAATTGAGCTGACCAAAGTGAAAAGAGAGAACACATTTTATTGCTCTTGCACACTCACGGGTAACGCGCGGCCAATTTCTTGGTTTGGTGCGGGTGGTACGCCGGGCTTTTGGACTTTATATGCATACTCTTCCTGTAGGGAATTCTATTGCAAACACATTGAAACCAAAATGAAAAACCTAGGACGAAAATTGAGGTGACAAAACTGAAAAGAGGATACACTTTTCAGTATTACCGCACTCACATGGACTGCCCGGCCCACCTTCGGGTGGTCTGGCACTCGCTCGCCCAAAGCGCGAAAGTGTTAAATGTTATACTGTACATAACATTTGTAAATACTGTAACATTTTAACGATTGAGATGCAGATTTGGAAAGACATTGTATAATTTATGAACCATGGTTTGGTAACACGCTAGTTTTGAGAATACATTTCATCTGTTATTACAATCCAGTAACCTAAACAACTCATGAACACATTTAATATTTTCACAGCATTAAGAAGTTTTAGCCAAGAGAGCATTCAATGTATTTGCTTATATTTAACAGAACATAATGCTTTCTATCAACATGTATGAAATAGCTGCTACACAGTATGGCAACCTCTCTGGTCCTGGATTCATTACCATCTACACCTTCATCAAGGTCTGAGATCATTTCCCAGTCCTCCACTTTCTCCCATAGAGAACTGCCTATATGACCATAGTGCCTCACATTCTATACAGTATCCTAATGTTACTATTTTGGGCAAGTTTAACTGTTGTTGATTTGTAAAACAATAACAAATCATTTGTGACATATCCATCACACACACGTCATTATTGATTATGAGGTTTCAACTTGTACATTTTAACCCTTTTGCTGCCAAAAGTGCTTATGGTCACCTGACAGGCCTGATTTTCCAACAAGTGACCCCGCGTCTAGGTACCTAGAAAAAATGCTTATACATTCTATAATGGTCGCTCAATTGTACTGGAAGTTCAAACACAGTTTGAAGTCAGTAGCTGCAGCCGTTTCTCAGTGACAGTAGAAAACGTTACTGCATGTGATAAGTCAAAATCCTCTAGAATGATTCCATCAAATCCTATTCATGCATTAGTTCAAAATCTGCAAGAGTGCCCATATCAAATTCTATACTCACTTATTTGCATGATTTTTGTTGCTATAATTAATTTTTTTTTTTTTTTTTTACATTGTGATGTGTGAATACTAGATATAATAAGCACATTAGAATAAATTTAAAAGTTTGTCGATAGTTTCATTTTTGGCATGGTATAAAGAGTATGCTTAAAAGAGTATGCTTATTTCTTATTAGAAATGTATAAAAATAAGAAAATAACACAAATCAACTAAAAAACCATATAAATCAATATACTGTACTTAAAATAAACAAATGAGATTTTTTTATACCAAAACATGTCAAATTCCTTAGGAAATTACATTATTAATTGTATTTACAATTGTATACTACACACTTGTGGCCTGCTCTAAGTTACTCGTGCAATTTTTTATATTATACGGTCACTTCAACTTTTATTAAAGTTGTTTTTAATTTTTTTACCATTATTCATTTTTAATATTTTCTCATCTTTGATATGGAAAGAATGCTTAATATTCTGATTAGGAATGCTTTAAAAATAAAGAAAATTAAAAACAAAACTCTATTAATGAAAAAAAAAAATCATTCCTATTATACGAAGATATTCTATGACTAGGGAATACTTATGGCCCAGGGGTGAGGACCTTAGACCATGATTTCTATTATGTATATCAAGGACTAAAAAAGTGGGGGCTTATTTGTTTAATTTTTCACTATGAATTAAAGAATATTTAAGCATTTTTAATAGTATAGATGGAAGGAGCAGGTTTGTACTTGCTATAAAGGTACCAAAAAATGCAAAACAAATATTTCTATCAGGTTTTTTCTTTATCATCGGTGGGAACAAAAGGTTCCAGAGGGTGTTGCAGCAAGAGGGTTAAACTACAAAAGTATATACGAAAACTTTCAATTCACACTGGTTTAGGAACTCAGGAAATTTATGCTTATGTTTCTAACTTTGTATGATGCTCTCATAAAAATAAAGATCAATAATTAAAGTATAGTACTTATTAACACATACAATAAAAGACTCAAATATATTGTTAAAATGCATTCTTTCTATTATTTTCTTATTATACAATATAAGAATAAATTAAAATGTACAGGTCATAATGAAAAAGATAAAATTTGCTGTGGTAAAAGAAAAAAAAAAGTCCACTGACAAATGAACAGTTGAAGCATAAAAATCAGTGTGGCATAATAGGATATCTATATTTAATAATAATTTACCATAACACATAAATTTTCTAAAATCTTATACTGCAGAATAAACTTCGTAGGTATAATATTGGAAACTCTTGTCTCACTTTTAAAGAATATAATTAATAATGCCATTTCTTAAATGGATTGAAGATGACAGAGGAAATACAACTAATTAATTAAAAGACTATCCTTTACCAAAAATGTCAAAACTCCTTCAGTGATATGCTCCATCAACATGGCACATGGTAGTATTTTACACATATACACTGTACTGGTATTCCTACTGAGCATTAACAAGAGAAATGCATCATTCAAGTTTTCCAATACTGCTCTGATGAAAAGGAATCTATAACATTCATTCTTACAAAAAATAACACCCTCCTCGTTGAGGCACGTTACACTCAAATTTGACTTGATCCACAAACATGACCTGAGGATACTTAAGTATGGAAAGGATCTAGTTCTACGTCATAGCAACAGGTACGATCAGGATGTGCTGTAATTCTTGGCTTCCTCCTCGCTCACATTACCTTACTTCATAAAATATTAAATAATCTCTAATTTCTGATATAACCGTCATCTATGTCTCCAAATACAATAGACTACCACTCTCCCTCTCATTTTCAGAATCCTCTTCCATGAATGGCGGTAATGTTAGAGACACACGTTCTGACATATTTTCTGGCTTAAGGAATCTGTATGAATAATCATTCGACCAGCACAAGAAGCCTGTAGATCTTGCCTGTAAAGAAAAGATCATATATAATTATTACATTAATAAATTAATAAATGGCATTCTAATACAGTACTGTACGAATGTCTGTAACTTCTCAATGTATTTTATGTTCCATTATTTAACTAATTTTCTACATAATATAACAAAACACAAGTCTGAAATATCATTACTATTACTATAAGCATATTTGTAAAAGTAAACTTAACCATTAAATATACAGTACATCAATACTGCTTATAGAATCCAAGGGGTAGATTAACAACTTAAAAGTCAAACCTACTTTACTTATCATTCTACAAAGTAACTTCTACAGGTTTAAAAGATTTGCCAAATTAAACACTGGTAGAATATAGCTTATAGACAAACTAGAAATATCATCCAAAACACCGAGTACGTACCTGAAGTATAGTGAACACTGCGCCAAATATGACAATATTGATGAGACAAATAACAGCAACAATTGAAGTGACAGATGGGTAGTATGATACTCTATGTGGCGTGTGGTGGGAACCAGAGTCCAAGCTGAGAGCTATTCTCCGCTTGTCTGCCGAGACAGCACCGTAACACAAGCCTAATAAATGAAAACAATTTCATTTTTTTTATTTCAGGATAATATATCTACTAAATGGTAAGCAATTAAAATTGAAATGTATATAATAGTGACTACAAATGTAGAGCATAGAAGAGCACACAAGTATTGTTTGCATTACTTTGCAAAACAATTACAAACATGGATTTTCCGATTAAGAAAATAATATTATGATTTATACTTCAACATACTGTACCTGTACTTAAAATTAAACAATTATGACCAATTAACTTGTGTCATTGCTTGAGTGCCAATTGGCACTACACACTGTACAGCCACCAACATATATACTTTCCAGACACAGGTTTTTCAGATTCACAACTTTCTCATTTTTTATTTATCCAAATTAAGTCCCACCTAGAACTTAAAAATATTTAAAATTCTAAAGGGCTCGGCCTCAAACATTACGGATTTTGGATGCTCAACTGTACCAAGACAGTAGTGTTCCCCAAGAACAAATTTTTAATCTTCACTTCTACTGACTAGTGGCTATATAAATATTTACTCTATCAACCGATTCAAAGCATTTTATCATAAACATAATATATACAAAATGTAGATCTAATTGTTACAAAAATAATACGTACAAGTGCTAATTAAAATCTTAAAGCTGGACAATAAAGCTGTATAAATGTAACAAGCCCGTCCAAATTTGTTTATGGTTTTGAAAGTTTGGGTCATGTGTCAAGGTTTAATTTTTTTTTTTTTTTTATATATATACAAGAGTTGTTACATTCTTGTACAGCCACTAGTACACGTAGCGTTTCGGGCAGGTCCCTGGAATACGATCCCCGCCGCGAAGAATCATTGTTACAACCAAGTACACATTTTACTGTTGCTACAGTTAAAGGATTTGCACCCAGGCTACAGTTAAGGATTTGCACCCAGTAAATCCTCCCCGGCCAGGATACAAACCCATTACAAAGCGCTCGCGGAACGCCAAGCGAGTGTCTTACCACTACACCACGGAGACTAAAGCACTAAAGACTAAAGTTTTGGAAGCAAGCCTAATCTTTCTGTATTTTGAAGGGTTTCATTATAATGGTATCCTACTGTTCTGAATAATAGTTATAATCAAATGGTTCCCTGGAAACACAAACCGTAACTGTCTCTATTTTCCACTTGTTACAACTTGTAATAAAGTTGTTACATCTTGGCTTATGACGTATTAAAACGTTGCTACAACTTGCTATATTGGTTGTTATAACTGATTAGGAGGTGTTAAAACTTGTTCAAACGTTGTACCAACGTCGTAGTTTCAGTGTGTGTTTGGCGGGTTAGATGCCGATATAAAAAAATATATATAAATTTTACATACCAGTAACAGGATCACAAGAACAACAAGGCGTGTCATGCTCCCCTTCCGTCACGCCAGAAGGACAACATGTTCGGCAGGTACTAGTTGCAGGATGGAGAGACATGGGCGCTTGGCATGATGTGCAGCCATTATCTCTACCGGATGAGCAAGTAAGACATGACTTGCTGCAGGGTTCACATGCCTGAGAACTGAGGTTATAATAGCGTCCAGACTGACATTCAATGCACATTCCGCCATCAAGTGTGAGATAGTCATGACAAGAAGTGCAGTCATTGAGACCTGAACCTGAAAGAAATGAGTCAGAATTAATTTTGTTTTTGTTTTTAATGTACAGTATAGTTAAACTTTTAACAGTTTTGTAAATATTAATTTGATCAATGCTACATTTGTAAATATATAATACAATAACTACATTACAGACTGACAGTGTTAGATGTGAGTACAGTACCTATTTATATAGAAATTTATAATGTTATCTACAAAACATTGCTTATAATTGTAAATAATAAGGAATTTTTTATTAAGATACATAATTGGCAAACATTATTGAAATTCTGTTTTCTGAGTTGTCTCTTGGTTGCTCCCCAAACCATGCAGTTAATATGGAACCCACAGGTATAAACAAAAAATTCACTAGACTCTATTACACACAGAAATCACAATAGCGTGATGCATCAAATGAACAAATCCACAAGGGCCATGATGAGGGTTCAAACCTAACCTAACCAAACCGGTTGCAATTCTTATACCATGTCGTAGCTCAGTTGATTAAGACGCGTCTGGGATCCTCTTGGACGTAGGTTCGAACCCTCGTCACAGCCCTGGTGGATTTGTACACTAGACTGTTTATCTGCTTCTTTCCCTAATAGGTATGTTTGCTAATCATCCTGAAGCAAATTAAAGATAGAAGAGCACCATGCAGGAATTGACACTAGGGAAAACATGGTGGCATCCCAGTGTGTGTAGGAACAAATCCAGTACCATGACCTAGACCCAATATAAAATCCCAAGGAAGCAGAATCCCTTGAGAGTATTGGAACCATTCTGTAAGCTACACCAAACACCACCAGAGAAGATGCCTCTGAAGGCTGTTGACCTTCAACAATCTGTGTCAGAAGGTAACTGAAAGGCGATGAAGTGGAAGGCAAGGTTCAAATACGTAAATGATGGGTAACTAAGCACGTGAGGTGAGCTCTAATGCATGAGAACTCTTTGGACAAAGTCTCAAAGAATAACTAAATAGTAGTGAAATATCTTGGTGTTATAGGTTCAGTCATATTTCTGAAAAATATAGTTTTGTTAACAAGCAAAAGCACCTTCCTGATCAAGGAAATGTGGTTGCTTCCCCAAGTACAAATCTGCTGTCACTGACAGGATTCATAAATGGTCAGGCAGAACAACACACAACTTGCATGCATACAGTATATATATATGCATGCAAGTCGAAGGCCCTCACAAATCTTGGAGAGAAATTCTAGCTACTCACCCTTACAAGTTTGGCAATTATGATAACAAGGGTGGCATTCACTTCCTTCTGGGTAATGGGAAGGTGGACATGTGCTATGACAAGACGAATTAAGAAGGAAGGAGTTATTAAAGCACGCAGCGCACTGGTCGCTTCGAGGTCCATAACACGTTTGGCAAGCATCTTCACATGGAGAACAGATACTGCGGTCACTGTAGAACCTGGTGGATAAATTAAAGGATAAAACTTTTCTGCTTTCTAACTTTAAATCCTGTAACATGATACTGCATACAAAATATTGTATTTAAGCTTAAAAAAATTAATATCTGCTAATAATAAACAGGTTATTTCAATCATTGTAATTTATTAATTGTATTAACTTCAATTATGGTACCTTTTAAGACTTTGGCAATTTCAGAAAAATATTGCTGAACACAGAATATAGATATGCAAATATAAAATAACCATATTACAGTACATCTCTTGAAAATTGATAATACATTAATAACAATCATAATTTTTGTAGTTTTTATTACATGGCATTTGCAAAGTAATGAAAATGCAAATGTATTTAAAAGGCAATAGCCCCTTGTGAAGCAGCTTTCATAAAACACAACTTGGAAAAGTTGTAGTAATGTGACTGTTTGCCTGCTGGACCTTAAGGCCATTTGTTAATTAATGTACATTAGTCCCTGATGACCATATCTTAGTACAGGGGTACCTCGGTCTAAGAGTTTAATCCGTTCCTGGAGACAGCTTATATTCCGAAAACTTGTATTCCGAAGCTAATTTCCCCATAAGAAATAATGGGAAATGAATTAATCCGTTCCTGATTACCACAAAAACCCCACATCAAACTAAATTTTTATACCTAATTCATCTAAATAAACCTACAAAACTATGTTCAAGTTATTACTTACCCTTGCTGAGGACTGCTGTTGGTGTATGGAAGATGTGAGGAGGAGGGAGGAGGAGAGGTGTTACTGTTTGGAAAGGGAGTCTCCTTCCATTATAACATCAGGCAGTGAGGACTTCACTGGTATGCACACACTGGCACATTTTGCCTGCATACCACTAGGACTTGTTTGTTTTACTAAGAATCTGTCTAAAGACACTTGTTTTTCCCTACATTTTAACACTTGTCTGTAGTAAGACATCACATTGTCATTTAAAAGGTCAATGCAACGGCCTGCTACAGCTTTATCTGGGCGAGTTTTTCCAATAAAACTTTGCAGTTCTTCCCATACTTCACACATTTTCTTAATCAAGAAGGGACATCCTCTACTCACAGCTATTTTCTTAGGTTGAACCTTACCAATGGCTTTCTTGAGACCCATGGTGAGATATATAATGACAACTTTTATGCTCAAATGGCCAAAAAAACGACAAAAAACTGTAAATCCTTGTGAAGAATTCAGGTGGGATAGTCACTGGGCGCGAGACACTGGTAACCTGGGGCACGATCGCCGTGCCACCATGCGCTAGTCGACCTGTACACGTATCAACAAACTCGTGTTCCGAGGTAACCCTCGCCTTCCGAGGCACATTTTCTGACCAAATCCTGCTCGTATTCCGAAAAACTCGTATTCCGAGGTACCACTGTATAGTACAGTAACTGTACTATAATTAGTCCACCATCTAGTGGTGGCCATATCTTAGTACAGTACAGTAGCTGTACTATAGTTAGTTCACCGTCTGGTGGTGGCCATATCTTAGTACAGTACAGTATAGTAACCATGGCTCCTGGTGGCCATATCTTAGTACAGTATAGTAACCATGGCTCCTGGTGGCCATATCTTAGTACAGTATAGTAACCATGGCTCCTGGTAGCCATATCTTAGTACAGTATAGTAACTATGGCTCCTGGTAGCCATATCTTAGTACAGTACAGTAACCAAGGCTCCTGGTGGCCATATCTTAGTACAGTACAGTAACCAAGGCTCCTGGTGGCCATTGTAATGACTCGTATATAAAGTATAGCTTTTGTGGTTGTTAATGTAAATGTTTCTCCTAGTTAAAATACCAGTTTGTTTTATTTGTGTTAATTTTTATATTAAATTTGCTTGTGAGCATGTATTAGTAAATGAGTATAATTATGTGTGTAAAGTTTTCCTGCATGTTTTCCTGAGGAGCATCCCTGCACTCCACAAGACAGATAGGGCGGAGACTCTACACACTTAATAAAATTAAGAAACACCTAATTACAATTATGTAACCAATTTACTCATTTCTTTATCCTACATGTCAACCTGTGCTGTGCTGATATTATGAACATTGAATACTATATCTGAACCCTTTCTGTAACTACAATTTCTATATTAAAGTAATGTATGCCTTTCATTATTAAATACCATTTTATTTTAAACCATTTGATAAATTTGTGTATCAATTTAAATGTTAACTTATTTATAATTTAGTATTAAGTGTTACCCTATTAAACTTATTCTCCATCATGTCTCACCCAATTCCAGATTTACCTTGGCATTGGAACCTGAACATTTTACATGGGCTGACAAAGAGACAACTTGATGACTGGCACCCATTATGCCAATCTGGGACATTATATTTACCCGAGTTCCACCATCTCTACTGACCTCGATGGGGGACAAGAAGCTGATGGCTTTGTCAAAGGTCCCCACCCCATTATTCATGAGGATTTCTCTAGCTGAATGTTAAACTGTAGTTCTGCTTTGACATTTATGGCTATGGTAGATAAGAGATTCCATGGGTTTACACCTATGGGTGAAAAAGCCTCTCCTACTTTCTGTCCTACACCATGATTTGCTGGGTTTGAAGTTTTTGCCTTTTGTGTATGATAAGATGGGTTTAAAAATAAAAAAATTATCTGGTTTATGGGGATCATACAAAGGGGGCCTGATGGCTGAATGGACAACACTTAGGATTTGTTGTTCTAAGGTTCTGGATTCGGTCCCGGCGAAAACGGAAGCAATAGGCAGAGTTTTTTTCACCATGATGCCCCCTGTTCACCTAGCAGTAAATAGGTACCTGGGAGTTAGACAGCTGCAACAGGCTGCTTTTTGGGGATGTGTAACAAAATGGAGGCTGGTCGAGGACTAGGCCGCGGGGATGCTAAGCCCCGAAATCATCTCAAGATAACCTCAAGATTGTACACAATAATTATATTGTATATCTCTCTCCTTCCCCCCTCACACAAGTGCATTGTGGAAGGTCAAATACATCATCTCATTATGTTTATGGTATTGTAAAACTTGTGCATAAACATGTTTTATTTGGTAACCCTTGTGGGTCACTATCTTATAAATGGCTAAAATTAGGGCTATTTATGGAATTCTAGATTCCCCGGGATGTTAGATAAATGTTATTGACCAGACCACACACTAGAAATTGAAGAGACGACGACGTTTCGGTCCGTCCTGGACCATTCTCAAGTCGATTGTGATGAGGACAGGTAGGGACAGGCATTAAATAGGCAAGAGAGAGCTGAGGAGGAAAGTCAGGTGTAGGGGATAGCAGTAATGAGAACCGCAGCAGGCCTATTGGCCCATACGAGGCAGCTCCTATTATAACCACCGAAGGAGATAGTAATAGGAATAAGAAGAGGATAGCAAGGGAGCGTAGAAGACAAGGAACAGAAAAAGGGAGAAGAGAGAATGAAAGGGAAAGAGAAAGAAAGAAATGGAAGGGGGAAAGCTTATGTTAAGTCACGTTTGTTAGAAAGATTAGAGCATTTGAGTATATACTGTGAAAGGGAAGAGTCCACAGCAACAAAGCCAGGACTCAAGTTCATGTTGGGTACATTGTTAATAAGAGCTGATTCTACAAGACGGCGTCTGTGTAGAGTAGAGGCAGGAAAGATTATTTTGGAGGAAGACCAATCAATGGGATGATTAGAATCCCTCACATGGCAGAAGAGAGCATTGTTAGTGTCAGCAGACTTAACACTTCTCTTGTGTTCTTTAAGTCTGTCATTCAGTGTACGGCCAGTTTCGCCAAAGTATTGGAGAGGACAAGATGAACAGGAAATAGAGTAGACACCAGCAGCATTAGAAGCAGGAGGAGCAGTGTGAACTAGATTGCTACGAAGTGTGTTAGTTTGTCGAAAGGCGAGTTTAATGTCAAGAGGACGAAAGGTATTGGTAAAAGTTTTGAGTTCAGATATGAAGATACTGTGCCTTCCCTTCATATCTGAACTCAAAACTTTTACCAATACCTTTCGTCCTCTTGACATTAAACTCGCCTTTCGACAAACTAACACACTTCGTAGCAATCTAGTTCACACTGCTCCTCCTGCTTCTAATGCTGCTGGTGTCTACTCTATTTCCTGTTCATCTTGTCCTCTCCAATACTTTGGCGAAACTGGCCGTACACTGAATGACAGACTTAAAGAACACAAGAGAAGTGTTAAGTCTGCTGACACTAACAATGCTCTCTTCTGCCATGTGAGGGATTCTAATCATCCCATTGATTGGTCTTCCTCCAAAATAATCTTTCCTGCCTCTACTCTACACAGACGCCGTCTTGTAGAATCAGCTCTTATTAACAATGTACCCAACATGAACTTGAGTCCTGGCTTTGTTGCTGTGGACTCTTCCCTTTCACAGTATATACTCAAATGCTCTAATCTTTCTAACAAATGTGACTTAACATAAGCTTTCCCCCTTCCATTTCTTTCTTTCTCTTTCCCTTTCATTCTCTCTTCTCCCTTTTTCTGTTCCTTGTCTTCTACGCTCCCTTGCTATCCTCTTCTTATTCCTATTACTATCTCCTTCGGTGGTTATAATAGGAGCTGCCTCGTATGGGCCAATAGGCCTGCTGCGGTTCTCATTACTGCTATCCCCTACACCTGACTTTCCTCCTCAGCTCTCTCTTGCCTATTTAATGCCTGTCCCTACCTGTCCTCATCACAATCGACTTGAGAATGGTCCAGGACGGACCGAAACGTCGTCGTCTCTTCAATTTCTAGTGTGTGGTCTGGTCAACATACTTCAGCCACGTTATTGTGACTCATCGCCTGCATAAATGTTATTTACTGAAGCCAGAAGATTTCCCTGTTCATGGATGTCACACAGAGGAACACTGATAACACATATATAATAAAATATAATAAAATATAATAGTACTGTACTTAAGACTACTATTCAGGATTGTACTTACCCACTGGGGCATGCAGCAACACACTGGTTGTTATGTAAATAGAAACGTTCAGAGCATGTACTGCATGACGAATAGGAGGTGCAGGTGCTACACCCATGGGGGCAAGGTAAGCAACGACCTCGCAATGCAAAGTGTCCATTTGGACATGATTCTACACATTTAGAATCCATTAGAAAACGGTGCTGAGCACAGTGAAGACAGTGAGCTTCAGTAGGTCCAACACACGAGAGGCACGAAGAGTGGCAGGTTTGACAACTACCAGTTTGAGCAGTAAATTCATCTGGAAAGTATAAGTACTGTAAATAGATTTATTAATTGGCATACAAATTCTCACTATTAAAAACACACAGTGCAGAACTTTTTACACTTTTGTGTGACAGATGTGCAACATCACAGATCACTTATCAGTCATCATTATCCCATTTCATACTTTCTGGGATAAAAAGGCACCCACCTGAAAAGGAAGGACAAAATATTGCAGGAAACAGCCAGCACTGAATGTAATGAAATGCCTCCTGGTAGGTCTATTTGGTACCTAAATCCCCTCAAACTACCCACCTAGATAGCTCCAAGTCTAATACATATCATGAGGCCCTTGTGAGTCACAAGTGCCTACCATGGACCATGAATAGAGACGAGTCCCCTCAAAAAAGGCAATGGGAATCTGGGGATGCAAGATCTACCCAGGAAAAAGGAAATCATCGTCGTAATAGTAGAGTGCATCAAAATGAGCAACCACATGGAAAATATTGCAAATTATATACCCAATAGTTTTCTGGAACCATTACACACTCGCCACCATGGGATGGGGGCTTTAGTGACTCAGGGCCCCAGCCAGCTGCCTCCCCCCCCCCCTCCTGCAGTCATGCACCTGGTGCTGTTGTGCAAGCTAAATGCTCTGCAACTTTGTCTAGCTTGTCCCACCCACTCACACACACACCCACCCACTCTCTTTCACACATCCACCTACTCTCTCTCATGCACCAACTCACTCTCTCACATTAGAGAGATTAAATATGTCAAAATAGAAGATGGAAGAAAAAGAGGCAATATGATCACTACATACAAAATAGTAATGGGAATTGACAAAATTGATACTCCTGAGACCTGAAACTTTAAAAACAAGAGGTCATAGATTTAAACTAACTAAACAAAGCTTCCAACGAAATAAAAAGAAAATTCACTTTTCCAAATAGTGGTAGACAGTTGGGACAAGTTAGGAGAGAAAGTGGTGGATGCCAAAACCGTCAGTAGTTTTGAAGCGTTATCTCATGCACTCGCACACACTCCATCCTCTCTCCCTCGCTCTCGCACGAACACCGTCCTCGCTCTCACACACGAACACCGTCCTCGCTCTCACACACGAACACCGTCCTCGCTCTCACACACGAACACCGTCCTCGCTCTCACACACGAACACCGTCCTCGCTCTCACACACGAACACCGTCCTCGCTCTCACACACGAACACCGTCCCCGCTCTCACACGAACACCACCCTCTCTTTCACACGAACACCACCCTCTCTTTCACACGAACACCACCCTCTCTTTCACATGAACACCACCCTCTCTCTCACACGAACAACACCCTCTCTCTCACATGAACAACACCCTCTCTCTCTCACACGAACAACATCCTCTCTCTCACATGAACAACATCCTCTCTCTCACACGAACAACATCCTCTCTCTCACACAAACACTGTCCCCTCTCTTGCATACAATACACCCACTCACCCTCCTCACAGCCGTGATGACAGTGCTCTGGGTTCACTCCCCTTAGGCCCCAAGTTCAATTCCTGGTCAAGGCATTAATAACTTGGCAGTTTCTTTTATCTGATACCTGTTATCACCTAGCAGTAAATAGGTGCAAGTACCTGAAATTTAGACAACTACTACATCCTGCAGATGTTTGTACTCACCTATTTGTGCTTGTGGGGGTTGAGCTTTGGCTCTTTGGTCCCGCCAAAGAGTGAGTGAGTGAGTGAGTGAGTGAGTGAGTGAGTGAGTGAGTGAGTGAGTGTGTGTGTGTGTGTGTGTGTGTGTGTGTGTGTGTGTGTGTGTGTGTGTGTGTGTGTGTGTGTGTGTGTGTGTGTGTGTGTGTGTGCGTGCGCGTACGCAAGAAAAATATGTAGAACAGTAAATATGAAAGATAAAGAATGGGTCGAGAGTCAGTATGTTAGACAACCAATGGATAGAAAGACAGAGTTCAAGAACTAACAACTCAATCCTGTAGGCACAAATAGTAAATACACATCCACCCTTTCTCTCTCACACATCCATCTTCACTCATCCACTGGTAGAAATCCGTTCATAACCACACCCACTCTTATCCACACACATCCAAACAAGTGTATACTATTTTTAAATGATGGTATTCCTGTAATGTACCTTTTTGTCATGTTCAAGAACATAACCCTATTTTTCCAATATGGTATTTCATTTATAAACATGTTTTTACATATCATCCTGTTAGGTAAAATATGTCAATGTATTGTTATGTAAAGACTGACTGTGCATTGCAGATGAATATAGGTTTACCGTGTTATAAGCAGATAAGGACAACTCTCATACTATTTCTTTATTTAAGCACTTACTGATATTGCAGTGATTAGGGCGTGCCACACAGCGGCCACCTTTGATTCTCCAGCCCTCGATACATGAGGTGCACGACTCCCCATCACAGGACGCGCATCCAGATGGACACATCTTACATTCACGGTTCACCTGGCCACCATAAGTACCTGAAAACAGTACAGCTTTGAGTAAACATAAAAAGCTTGTCCAAAACATAAGAAAACAAACATAAAAAACTTGCCCAAAATGCTAAGCATGCTAGTGGCTTTACAAGAATGTAAATTCAACTTAATTTCTATGTTCTCTGTTAACACCCAATGTACTTTCTTGTATATAAATAAATAAAATTAATAAATAAAGTACCTCTCTGAACAAATTCGTTTGGTTGCCACCTTAGGTATGATCTGCTGTGCCTGTTAGGATGAAATTTAGGCACAAACACCACAGAATATTCAAGCATTTTGGCACGATCATATAAGAAGGCAATGGGCCACTTTGAAGATTTCTCAATCCAGCCTAGAATGACCAGCAAAAACATGTTTATAAAAGCTCCTCATTACACATTCTTCATTGGTATTACAAGTTACCAGCATGAGGTCTCAAACTACTCATTTTCCTGCTAGATTATTTACACCTTCCATCAGGTATTGGAATAGCTAAACCTTCTTGCATGCTCCCTGACTCAAGAAACTGAGCACAGGAAAGTTAGACCAGAAAGAGAGGGACCAGGGGCAACTAAATGAATCTAAACAGAAAGGTACTTTTTCATATACATCACAGAACTGTATACAGTACCAAAACTCTTATTTTAACTATTTGTATCATGGTGCAACTGATGTTGCACCATATTATTAATATATATATATATATATATATATATATATATATATATATATATATATATATATATATATATATATATATATATATATATATATATATATATATATATGTGTCGTACCTAGTAGCCAGAACGCACTTCTCAGCCTACTATGCAAGGCCCAATTTGCCTAATAAGCCAAGTTTTCATGAATTAATTGCTTTTCGACTACCTAACCTACCTAACCTAACCTAACCTAACTTTTTTCGGCTACCTAACCTAACCTAGCCTATAAAGACAGGTTAGGTTAGGTTAGGTAGGGTTGGTTAGGTTCGGTCATATATCTACGTTAATTTTAACTCCAAAAAAAAAAAAATTGACCTCATATATAATGAAATGGGTAGCTTTATCATTTCATAAGAAAAATATTAGAGAAAATATATTAATTCAGGAAAACTTGGCTTATTAGGCAAATCGGGCCTTGCATAGTAGGCTGAGAAGTGCGTTCTGGCTACTAGGTACGACATATATATATATATATATATATATATATATATATATATATATATATATATATATATATATATATATATAAAATGGGGGACAAAGCACATAAGAATAAAGGTAATTGCAGAAGGCCTATTGGCCCATACGAGGCAGCTCCTATCTATAACCGCCCAATCCCACTACATAAAAGATTAATCAGATGTAATTGGCCTGTTATGTTGAACAGTGTCTTCTGTGTTGGCATCGTTATGTTCTGGTCTTGTCCTTACTCTCATGGTGGGTAGAGTAAAGACAAGACCAGAACATAACGATGCCAACACAGAAGACACTGTTCAACATAACAGGCCAATTACACCTGATTAATCTTTGTATGTAGTGGGATTGGGTGGTTATAGATAGGAGCTGCCTCGTATGGGCCAATAGGCCTTTTGTAGTTACCTTTATTCTTATGTTCTTTGTCCCCCATTTATCCCCATTTATTTATTATTTATATATATATATATATATATATATATATATATATATATATATATATATATATATATATATATATATATATATATATATATATATATATATATATATATATATATATATATATATATATATATATAGATAGATAGATAGAGGGGGTACCTCCGGTGCAATTGTAGGGATCCATAGCCTTGGAGAAGGGAATACAGAGCATTGATTAATGGCTTGCATGTTTAATGCAACCTCTCACATGGAACAGTAAATGCTTAAACATACCTTTAGGGCAACGATATAGGCACTTTCCTTGATGTAGGTAAGAAATAGATTGGCAGGATGCACATTCAGAACTGCTACCACCGACACAAGTCTTGCATTGTGGATAACATGACCCACATCTATGGAATCATCATTACATTAATTAGAACTAAATTTCCTTTGTTATTATATACAGTACAGTAGATATCTATATAATAATATTAAAACTAAGCTATTCACTGTTATAGTAATTAACATTTATTAGTGTTTAACATACAAAGGCTTACCTATTGTTTTGTGTCTCGTAGAAGCCTTCAGGACAATTGGTGAGACAGGTGCCGTTAGAGAGCAGAAGATTATGGTCACAACTAATGCACTCCTTGGGAGTCACACACTCCGAGCACTGACCACCACACCGCAAACAAGTGCCATTTGCTATAAAATATAAATACTTTTTGTTAAGAACTATCTCACTGTGAAAGATGTACTAGTATATTGGGTATATTTTGAGTGAATTAAGGTAAAAATGAAGTCCAGGATTGTGAATTAACAAATACTGTAATCCAAAAGCTTGCATAATCTAATTCAATTTCTTTAGAAATTTAAACAAAAATTATCACCTGCATAATATCCTTCAGGACAGCTCTCAGCACAAAGCCCAAGATGAATAACATAAAGAAAATCGGTACGGCAAGCCAAGCACTGATTCTGTGCTGGCCCACTACACATTGCACATGATGCATGGCAGCCTAAGCAGTCCCGATCCTCAGAGCCATAAGTTCCCTCTGGACAGCTTCCCACACATTCACTGTTAAAGAAAATTACAAATAAAGTACAGTGCTTGCAATTAGATACAGCACACAGAAAATTTCATACCTGAAATAAAAAACGCATACACACTCATAGATACCGACTACAACTACTAACTACTGAAAAGTACAATATGGTATTTACTGAATTCTCAGTTTAGTATTATGCATAGAATAGATACAATGTAAAATAAATAAGGCTTTAGGTGCAGATGAAAAGCAGGTCTTTCTAAGCAGGACACACTGCTTAGAGGCGGGCCAAAAGAGCTCAACCCTCGCAAGCACAACTAGGTAAATACACTGTTGCTTCCTCAGGCAACAGGCTCATCGCAACGATATGATCAGACACTAATATGGCAGATTGACATGCTGCCTCAGCACTTCAACCTTGGATTTCACATCCAAGGTGAAATCTTGTTGGGTGATTGTTTCGTTTCTTATCCTTCACGAACGTTATTTACCCTGTCACACATCTCTTGTGCCAAGTGAGTACGATGGGCTCACCATAGCCCATGTTGCTTGGAATGTTTTGCTCCGAGTAGCTGAATCTAAAGCAACAACAACAGTTTACCTTGTATCTCTGCTGACCAGAGTATGATGATCCTACCCAGTTAAGAGCTTGATTCTGCTCCTTGCCATTGTTCAGAATGTGCATCACATTTTAAAAATGCAAATTTTTTTACCCTGACAGCTATCCCTCCTGTCTCTGGCATGCTCCTTTTAAGTCCAGAATCTTTTTCATCCAGTATCTTAGGGCATATTGACATCTGCCTTCTATAGCACTTTTCTTCAACCCATGGACCATGCACTTGTATTCCACAGTCCATATGGCTAACGTTCACTCAGGTTAGTCAAACTTAGTCAATCACAAATGTATCCCTGGGCACCATGACCTGTGGAACTTTGCTACACTTAAGGCATTCCTTTCCACAGCTTTTGTACATATGTAGTCTCTCTCATCCTTATCTAGTGCAGATGAATGTCAGTTTCTAAGGTGGCATAGTAAGTAAATAAATTTATTTTTCACTGTCATATATCATAAACCCTCTTGCCATGCAGTCGATAGTTATACCAGCACCTGGCTACACTGCTGCGGAGGTGTGGAAAGGGCAGAATCGGCTACTAAATGTGATTCTTCTTCTAGTATTTAAATGTATCCTTTATTCAACATACTGTACACATAAAAATGACAGAAATCATAAATTTCTCTGAAAACACTATTAGAGGTTATCAATGAACATGATGCATATTATTGTATAATTAGTCAATTTGTACCAAATAATGCATTACTGTATATGCAATACAGATTATAATACTAAGTACTGTAAATATCCAATATCAGTATTTATGAAATAAATTTATATGACTTATCCCAAATCAGCAGCCTCCTCGCAGGGTATGTAACCGGTGTTTTATTATGACATATATTGCAATTTACTGCAGTCTGAGCAAATGAAATACGGCAATTTGCACTGCATTTTTGCATGGATTTTCCACAAAGTGAATTTGCAAGGCTACCACATGTGTCAAGGTTTGAAATGAGTGATACACCAAGTCACAGTAAAAGGCAGACAGCAGTACACATGGTACTCAAATTTATATCCAGCTGCAAAAAATCCTCAGGAATAATGGGGAAGGGGTGAGGAATCTTTGACAAGCATTCAGCTTCCTGTCTCTGTTGAAATCACTGGGATGGTGGGCCTCAAGTAAATTCAGATAAATTAAATGGGTTTCAACAGACATATGTGATCCATATTATCAGGTAAAAGGGTTAATCCATTTTGTGAGGACATTTCATAGTGAATTATAATTGTTGTCAATAGATTTCTACAGTGGCACAACAAGAACACCAAATATTATACTAATATCAAAGAACAGCAGAATCTTACCCCTCTAAACTATAATGAGAACAAGCTCGGCACTTGTCTGGTCCTGGGCCAGAACATCCACCAAGACACTGACTATGACATACTTCGGATTCTGTAAACTTGGTTAAGTTGTTACGATCATGAGGTACAATCAGGTGATTTGGACCTGACACTACCTTCCCTTCAAGAGTGGCATATGTAGCATTGGGACTAGATCCAGCCAGAATTTGATCAAGGATGCTGTGGAGAAAAATAAAGTTATAAATTACAATATCTTTGTCGGTTTAACCGTCCAACTAGTTTATTGTAAACAGATCAAGTTTCACAATTCACTAACACCTTTAGTAGTATGTCATGAGATTTCAAGCTTCATCATTTATTATCGAAACTTTAATAACCTAGATTATCTTCTGTATTTATCTTTTACTAAAAGGATACCCACCAGTTGCTGGGTGTGTCTTTCTGTCTGTGTCTGTCTGTGTCTGTCTGTGTCTGTCTCTCTCTCTCTCTCTCTCTCTCTCTCTCTCTCTCTCTCTCTCACACTCAGAACATGCATTATGAGCAGCTGAAAAAACTTTTGAAAAATCTAGAAAAACACACATAATTTCAGACATAATGAGAGTCACTGGACATCATAGTGGAAACTGACTATTCATATAGGGAAAAAGGGGAGTGCAATGAGGGAAAACTCCAACCCATATGACAGTCCCGTACTACCCATTAGTCACACTGCAAAGTTGGGTGAGGCTAGCCTAAGCATCTGGGGCCAGATTTACGAAAGTACTTACAAAAGCACTTACGAACCTGTACATCTTTTCTCAATCTTTGGTGACTTTGTTTACAATTATTAAACAGTTAATGAGCTCCGAAGCACCAGGAGGCTGTTTATAACAATAACTACAGTTGATTGGGAAGTTTTCATGCTTGTAAACTGTTTAATAAATGTAACCAAAGCCGTCAAAGATTGAGGAAAGATGGACATGTTCATAAGTACTTGCGTAAGTGCTTTCGTGAATCTGGCCCCTGGCATCTGACCTTGGACAGACACAGACAGACATTCAATTTTATAGAAATGTATTATTTTTTATTGTTTTTAACACAAAATATGCATGAATCCTGTACTGTAAAGAGCACAAGGTTATTTAAACAATTTTTTTTTTAACACAGTTTTATTAATAAACAGTACCTAATGGTGAAAGGATCGTTTGAGGGTCTTCGTGATGGGAACTGAAAACCTGAAGAGGACTGGGTTGGCAGAGGCTGTGAGAAAGACGAAGAATCCAACCGCTGAGGTTGTTCTGTGCGCAGGCGCCCTGGACGCTCTTTAGTCCCATGTAAGATAAGCTGCCACTGAATGAGTATACCTGTGAAAAAAAAATTAAAAGTTACTATGTTAAAAAATGTACAAATGCTCAAGAAACTTTAACCGTCTTACTTTGCACATAAATACATTCTAAAGAATACTGTACAAACAAAATTATTAGCTCATTTATTTTCAAAAGAATTAACCCTTCAACTGAGCGTCACATCCAGGCATGATTTACCAGCGGTGTGCATCACATTTGGAGATTTTTTAGGTGCTACAAAACGTTGGAAACTCCCATGGATAAATGGGGCTTGCATCAGCTTTCTCAGACCTCCAGTAAACCGATGCCATCTTTGACAAAATTGTGGGCACCCCACCTTGATGTGAGGGCATTAATAGTAATATAGCAAACATGAGTAAGGCATGCAGCAGCAGCAGTTCAAAGCATCACCATGAAACTCATGCCCACTGTATCACAATGATAGGGGTGAACTCCCGGTTACAAAAAAATTGTAACCGGGAGTTCCTCTGGCCTTACACAGATCCGTGTGAGGCCAGAGGAACTCCCTGTTACAGTTCTTTTGACCATGTCGTGGCCTAGACGATTAAGGCGCGTCTGGGATCCTCTCAGACATAGGTTCGAACCCTCATCACGGCCCTTGTGGATTTGTTCATTGGATGCATCACGCTATTGTGATTTCTGTGTGTAATGGGTTGATATTTTTTAAGAATTGAGGTCAAGCAAAGGAAACTTTTGGTTATGCAACCATTCAGTGCTTACAATGCTTTACTTATATCTTCATATAAAATTTATATAATAAATCATAGAAATTATTTTCTAAGAAAAAATTACATTCCCCTGTTTTAATTTTCACCTTTTATGCATGTTTAGAGCAAACAAAAAAAAGCTGCCATTGAAGGATTAACTTACCAGGGTGGCGGACTTCCCGTGTGCCAGCATTTGTGACAATTAACTGCCAAGTCCCTGCTGCCTTCTCTCCCCAAAAGTGAACCGAGAGGAAAGGCCAGTCATCAAACTTTTCTGAGAACACATCTCGTGGCCTTTCAAATAACAAGGTGGAAGTAGTACCTGAAAATATACATTAATTGAAGAACATGGTACTGTACTTCCCATTTATATAATAAAGGATAGAACAGCATCATTTAGCAGTTGTATCTACTTCATATTGTATATCTTAGTGCATCAACAAAATGATAAACAGTACTGTATATAATACAGTTGGCATGCTTTCCGTAAGTGATAGTTTAAAAAACTTCCTAAGTCTTTGCTAATTCAATTTTGAAAAAAGGATTGCTAGAACCAAACTGGGACTCCAAGATGTATAATATCCCTTTATTAATTAATTATTTTTATGGGAAAATGGGAAAGAAAGAGAGAAAGGACAAGAACCTTGTCCTTTCTAAGGACCTTTCTTTTCTTTTTTTAAGCTAAAAAATTAATCTACAGTATTTTCAAAACTCGGTAATCAAATATTTGATCTGTTGACAGAATGAGACAAGTGGAAGGTGTGAAAGAACATAATAGTACCTGACGGGGACAAGAGTTTTATGTTGATATTTCCACGTGGCAGGAATCGGAGAGAAACTCTTGCTTGTACATGTTCCAAATAACGCACTTCTCTGGATGTTCCTGCACACCCATCTGTGGTGATCTCTGCATATATCGATTCTCCCATGATAGTAGGAATACCCCTATGAAGACAAAATTTTATAAACTACAAGTAGACATTAAACAATTACTTGACGTTAATAATGTTTATGAATGATAATTAATGATAATGATTTCCTTGTACTTGTTGCAGTTACTATATATATATTAAGAGGAAACATCAAATATCATTGTCTCTATCATAAATAATATTTCACTACAGGCCTGAATATTATAAACTATGGCATATCTGGATGAAATGCAATCCCAAGCCAAGTATTATGACAAAGAACCACTGTACTAAATGTTTGAAGCATCAAGCTATTAAATGATTAACAAAAATTCTTGACAGAATAAATGGATTTTTTTTTTTTTTGAGATATATACAAGAGTTGTTACATTCTTGTACAGCCACTAGTACGCGTAGCGTTTCAGGCAGGTCCCTGAAATATGATCCCCGCTGCGAAGAATCGTTGTTACAACCAAGTACACATTTTACTGTTGAGTTAAACAGGCTACAGTTAAGGATTTGCACCCAGTAAATCCTCCCTAAAGTTAAATCTAAGGTAAATTTGCGCCCAGATTGATACAGATACTCTGGAACAAAAGAGCATGCTTCTCAAAATTTGTGGGCAGGGAACTATTTAAATAAAGTGCAGGATTGTCATAGTAACACATTTTATGACCTAAGCTACTAGAGCTTAACTTCTTAGCACAGTATTTGTTATTTATAAGTAGACATTTTGTTGTTGAAATCAGTGAAGAACAATTTCTTGGTCAAGGAAAATTGGAGAAAAAAGCACATAAACCAAAGGATAATAATTTCAGTAATTATTATACAGAGATGAAATATTTGAGTCGTGAAACTGCCCTGAACTAAGGAAAAAAATAGTCATATTAACAAGAGTATCTAAAGTGTAGAATGACGACAGATATACTTAAGAAGGTAGCTGCCTTTAAGTGGTTGGGACATTATGGTACTAAAACTTTTTTTTTTAAATAAATAACATAAGAACTTTCTGTTAAATGGCTGGATATTTAACTATTTTTTTTGCATGTTAATGGATGAGTTCAGGATGTTGGTTAACTTGGGGTAGAAGATAGAAAGTATAAATCTCTTTTGTCAACTCACTTTGTCAAGAAATTCAGAGAAAATATTTCTTTGATCACAGTATAGTATAATGCTTTTTAAAGTGGAATCATGTCTTGCTTGAACAGACCAATTTGGTGAAGATTCCCTCCACTGCAAACTAACTTCCATTGCACCCAAACTTTGCTATTGAAAGTTTTTTTGGGTGGATAACTCTGATATTTGGTTTAGTGGGCTTCGGATAACCAAGCTCTTACATTATTTTATAATCGGATTTCTTATAAGTATTTACTATTTGTAACTGCAGAATTGAGGTAGGAGCTCTTGGACCCCACCTTTCCAACCAAAGACCCCCGAGTGCTGTGAATTGTCCAAAATTATGTTAGTTTAAGGATTTGCCCGAAACCCTATGCATGCTAGTGGCTTCACAAGAATGTAAAATCAACTCAATTTCTATGTTCTCTGTTAATCCCTAATGTACCTTGTATATAAATAAATAAAATAATAAAAAAATAAATATTTTCCTTCATCATGTCTACTACTACTGTACATATATTTCCCTCTAACACATGCACACATCCCCAGGAAGCAGCTCGTAGCAGCTGTCTAACTCCCAGGTACCTATTTACTGCTAGGCAAGCAGGGGCATCAGGGTGAAAGAAACTCTGCCCATTTGTTTTTGCTTCAGGCAGGAATCGAACCCTGGCCCTTAGGACTATTGAGTTCGTGGTTCTATTTTCATTGCCTTAGCACTCGGGTCCTTAGGACTTCGCACCCGAGTGCTGTCCACTCAGCCATGAGGCCGATAAGTGTACTGCTATCAATGGGAAATGTGTTCCTACCACCAAAAAGTCAGGTTCGTCCTCAAATCGCAATCGGGAATTCTGGGTTCAAATCCCGAGCGGGATAGAAATAGTCGAGTGCATTTCCTATCACCTAATGCCTCTGTTCAACTAGCAGTAAATAGGTACACAGGAGTTAGTCAGCTTGTTGTGGAGTTGCATCCTGGAAAGGGTCAGTAGTTTGACCTTGATAGGGGGGGGGGGGAGATAAACCTCAATATAAGCCTAATATGTATATATACAGTAGTTGTCTCTCTGTGTTGGTGTTTCAATCTTCTCGGAACACTTGTTTACAGTACAGTATTTCCATCATCGTTTCTAGGGCATTGGATTGCCTCAGTCTTGGAAGTAGTGCACCATCAACACCACTTCTTATCAGCCTATGTTGAGGGTATTTTCCTCAGTAAACAGCCGAAATAATCCACAGAATACCAAGAGGGTCTGAATTGGGCACAATAATACTGCCGACTGGGTAATATGGGTCGGCTGCATGATCCACACTTTTGTGCAAACTGTAGTACTCACGTGGCCTTGCCAACATAAAAGTAGCCGTTTTGTTTAGGTAAAATGAGACGTTAACATGAGAACTCTCAAGTCATATGTTTGTAGGTTGGGAACCCCCTACAATGCTCTCTAGAAACACAAAAGATGGGTATTTCTAAGTTGCTTAGCTTGGAGACTGTACTTGGGGTTGGTTTCAAACCCATTGATGATGTAACAATATACATTAAATTTTGTAACTGTAGAGCCCATTACATGCCTCTGTAACCCTTTCCACTACTGCTCACAGGATAGGTATGGGGTGCATTATAAATGAACTGAACTAAAAAACCAACTTGGGGTTTCTCTCAACACACACATTCAATGAAACGTGTGTCCAGGAAAAATATAGGTCCTGCGAGTGTTCATTGCATCAGGCAGCAATTATTCATCTTCAAAAAATGATAATCACACTAAAAAGAGTTAAACAATGCATCATGAGCACATGTTGATTATGAACTACTACTCTTGATACTTACTGGTCAGTTCGGTCCTTAATACTCTGGCAAACATGTTGGGGCGGTACAGTGATCCATTTTTCTGCCAGCTCCACCAACTTGCCGGCATCCATCAGCCCATAGCCAAATTTGTGACTAACTGTCAGGATATAATGCATAAAGTATACATATATGTACAGTATTTTGAAACAAAAATCAATATTTAAAGAAATATTTATATATCTGAATATGCAGGTAGACTGATAATATAAGAATCCAAGGGAAAAAAAACACTCTTGCAGTGTCAATCATTTTGAGATGTATCAAAATTGCTTCAATGAATAGCTTCAGCTAGTACTAGTAGAATAGGAGAAAAAATGCAAACATATGTACAGAAAGCAAATATTATGCACTAATACAAATGATAAGCAGTGAATGCTACCCGATATGAATTATACTGGGAATTTTAAAAGCAAGCAACATGTACCACCAATCTCTTCTTGGAAGTGCTTTTAAAGTGAGGTGCTGCTCAGATTTTTCATGGCACCGAATTAAAATTTCTTTTACAAAGAAGGTTTATGAGGAGAATGGGTATTAATTTTGTATAAGGTGTTCTGTAAAGTCTAGCCTGTAGCAGCCCAAAAGTCTTTGCTTCCACTGGTCAACATTACCTTCAAGTCACTACTTTTTGTGTCGCAAAAAAAAATTGTCATAAATGTCCATGTTATATTAGTGTAAACACAAACTCATTAGGTCTCTACACATCAGGAACTCACATTACCTTCCAATGGTCGGTGATCTGCGTCTAAGTGTGACATGATTATATTCTAGGCTGTTGTGTCCATTCCAATGTTGCTGAGGCTTGTTGCACTCACTTGTGTCTGTCAGTCTACTTCAACATTGTCTCGAGTCTTGTGATGGCTTGTAGTTCCATCATGCACTGAACACATAGCTACAACTTGCTATGTCAGAAAAGCAACACTTGTGAGGCTACACACAGATCAGCACAAACCTTGCTAATGCAAGCAAACATGCTTCCATATAGTAAAGATCATTGATTAATTAAAAAATTAAAAAAAAAATTTATATTATGGCACTCATTCATTTCTTAACTCTACTTTTGAAAACAATGTTAATATATTCAATGATCTTGGCATGCTATATGGGATGCTCAAAAGTCTCTAAATGTCTGTTGATAAAGCTTTACATTTGACAGTACTGTACATTATGAATTAAAAAAAATTAATATAGTTTTTATGCAATACAAATTACATTCCCTGTAAGTCTAGTAATTAAATTTGATCACTGAAAAAAACTAAACAAAAACAGCATTGAATGTAATGAAACTCCATTTTCTGGGCGAGCCCCCTTCGGCTCTGTGGAGCTATCAGGCTTATGTGTGATACATTAGACTGTGGCATTAGTGTATGGAGTTCGATGTACCAGGGACCACAAGCCAGAAACCTGGCCTCTTCAGAGAGGTTGCAGGGAGCAATGGCCCCGGAACCCCCCCCCTGTGGTTGAGGTTTTTCTTTATCTGCCATCGACCGGGGTTAGGCACCCAGAGAGGTAGGCTACAAAACAAACCCCACATGGTATGAAAAGAACTAAAAACTGAAGAGAGGTAGAACTCCTTCCAATCCCAAGCAAACAAGCAAACATCACACTCCACTGCCACGCTGCTCGTTCACACAGCCCTCCCCTCCCTGCACCTGCTACTCAACACAGCTCAGGGAGGTCTGGGGCTCCCCCCCTCCTCCTCTCGGGAGGGGAGGGCTATGTGGACGAGCGGTGTGACAGTAGAACGTGACATTTGCTTCTTTGCTTGGGATTGGAGGGAGTTCTACCTCTCTTTTCAGTTTTTAGTAGTAATTTTCTTACCATGTGGGGGTTTGTTTTGTTATACCTACCTTTCTGGGTGCCTAACCCCAGTCGATGGCAGATAAGAAAAACCTCCAACCACAGGGGAGGGGGGGGTTCCAGGGCCATTGCTGCCTGCAACCTCTTTGAAGGGGCCAGGTTCTGACTCATGGTCCCTGGTAGGTTGAACTTCATAGACTAATGCCCCGGTCTAATATATTACACGTAAGCCCGATAGCTCCAAGGAGTCGAAGGGGCTCTCCACAGAAAAACATGTAAAATGAATGGTTCTAATAACCTTAGACATGCACTATAGCATTTTTGTTGAAGATTCAACAAAAATCAAAGAAATTCATAACAAATATTCAGTTTAATTACTCATGCAAGACATAGTCAATTGTAATGCACATTATATTGTTTATTTCCGAATAATAGGCGTTTTCTTCATTAGTTTTGTTTTAAGAACTTGTTTTAAAAGTTTGTTTTAAGAGTTTGGAAAACATTAAATTTGCAAGAAAAAAGTTTATATACACGTTATATACTCTTTGGAGCACTTCATCTATTCTATATGAAAAACTCTCTTTACTGGTTTGGTATAAAGGGTACTATACAGTAATACAAGTTCTTAACAAATTCAAAGCTGCCGTTTCCCGATTGATGCACGTGCATAAAATAATGTACTGTACATTAAATGCCTGCAGAACTGTTCTTCTCTAATCATATGTAGATTATTAAGTTTTGTCGACTTGGTTCAGATATCACAATTATCCAATCTAGAAATCTTAAAATAAATATCCATTATAAACCAACTTAAAAATTAGCAATATTTTTTTAGTTATGACTATGAGGCAAACACAAACATGCCACAAGCAATTCCAGACATATCAGTGCAGGGGCTGAGGGTTAGTACACCAGTCGAAAGCTGCAGCAATCCAAGCTAAGCTGCAATAATGCTGCTTCAAAATTAAAACTCACACAAATAAATGAAATTACTAACCTTTCCTGCCAACACCGTTGACAAACCAACCATCTTCCTGTCTTAGAGGTTCAAAACGTGAAGTCATGACCACAAGGTGTTGCATATCACGCCAAGTCAAATCTGGGTTGGCCTCCAAGGCCAGAGCGCACAGACCTGCTGCTAGTGGTGCCGAGGCACTTGTACCTAATTGAGAACATAACAAGAACATACAAATAAAGGTAACTACGAAAAACGTGTTGGCCCATACAAGGTAGCTTATATTTATATCCACCCAAATTCATTCATATATTGTATAAGAACTTTAGAACAATGATATGCATTTCATTATTTATAATATTTGTAATGTAATAAGTTGATCTTACTTTAACTACAAATACAGTAGTATAAGACCGAAATGAACACTCCAAAATTTTAGTGCCTACTTCGGAAAACTACTTTAGTACTGTACTTCAGAAAATTCTCAAGCCAAGAAATCTAATATTTTGAGAATACATAGAAGCATTAATTATTGGTCTGTTTTTTTATTTGGTTAATTGTTCTTACTGAGTTGTGATTAAAAAGTTTCCAGAATAAATTATGAGAACATTATATTGCATAAATAATTACGTGAAGTTGCAAAAACGAATGCCATTGTGTGAATACTTTGCAATTCAGAAGACTCTGCCCTTCAAAAGACTTTCCCTTGTTATTGGGAAATGTGCCACTTAAATTACTCTACTTATTAAGTTTACTATCTACTGTGTAGCACTCGGCCCGAGTGCTACACAGTAGATAGTAAACTTAATAAGTAGAGTAATTTAAGTGGCACATTTCCCAATAACATCCTGGAGCACCAGATGTATATTCTACTTGGTAAGAAAATAAATCAAGTGTTTCTTTCACATTGGTGTACTTGTCTTGGGCATTTTTTAAAACAAAAATCTGTCATGAGTTTCTTCTTTATAAAGAGTTAAAAATATGGAAAAAATTTACATATGCAATGTAAATTTACATTTACATATTTAATAAATTTTGAAAATTAACTAAACCATTCCATATACTGTACTGTACTTACTCTAATTTACAAAATTTCATATTAATTTAATTCTGGAATTGATACTGTATCAGTGCCTGTAATTTGGATAAAGAGTTACCCCTTACTTTTGTGTTTTCTTATAGGATTCACATAAAACAAAATAAATATGAATGACTGAACAAAAATATAAAAAAACGGTCTTGAATAAATACTTTTAGGCGAGACAGTGACACATGCTCCAAAATTTGTCCAATGAATAACTTTTTTTTTTTTATGTATGACAACAAGGTTTATCATTTATTAAAATCTTGGAAATTATAGGGATCTATAAGCAGAACCCAATTCTCATAAATGTCTTAAGAAAACAAAATTCATGTGATGTAAGCTGCATTTATCTCGGGTGAACTAAGAAAAAACTTAAAAGACACAAGCAACACTATGCTGTATGGAGAATGCTGTATGCTGTATTTATACAGCATGTAGTATATTTTGGTAGCAGTCTTTCTTGTAAACATATGTTGTTAAATACAGTATGACCGAAAAAGTAAGATTAATAATTCTAACACGAATTTTCTCAATATTTCTCGTTTCTTTTTACTGTCGATGGTAATTGAAAAATCAATTCTATTTTTCAATTATAGCAGAATTGATTTTTCAAATACCATCGACAGTAAAAAGAAACATAAGAAACATTGAGAAAATTCATGTTAGAATTATTACTCTTACTTTTTCGGTCATACTTAACAACATACGTATTTTATTTATAAACAAGAAGGTAGTACAACATTCTGTGTGGCGTGCATTTAGATAATGCAGTTGACATTTAGTCCAGGAATATTGGCAGTATATATCTACATGGCAACAATCAGTCTATCATCTTCATTATACTTCGCTGCCTACATTCAGTGCCATAAAGATGTCATATTTAGATTTATTACATTACTAATTCATGTCAATAGGTCACTTAAACCATTAACTTGGGTGTATCAAAGTTATCAATCAACAACAACCATTATCAACCATACAGTATGGTTGATAATGGTGGTTGTTGCTGAAATCAAAATCAGCAACAACCATTAACTACCATTCAGCTATTATTTTTTGTTTCATTAATATCCTACTACAAGTCATTCTTGTTTTTGTTTACACAAAATTAATAACAAAAAATCCAATATGTTGAGTACTCAATGATGCAAGGTAACCTATGACAAGAATATATAGACCAATATAGTGAGCATGTTAAGTATTATTTATTTTTGAGATATAATTTTGTACTCCTACAATTACTTATATAAAACAGGATATATTATAAATAAATGCTAACATAATAGCATTTTAAATGTCAATATGTTATTTAATTATACTCTCAAAACAGAAAGTAAGACGGTGCTCTTGAGCAATAAATATTAACCGATATAATTTGTATAATATATCTTGAATTGACTCGAGAATAATCAAAAGACAAAAATTCAAAAACATTAAACTTAAGAACGTTATGACTCCGAGTTACGACCCAGGATCGTAACATCTGTAAAAGATTCCAGACATTCTCACCTGTGTGTTCAAGAGTGCACATACGATCAGGTCTTAAATTACCATCCATATCAACTGTGGCAACACTACTATCAAGACCCGGAGTTCCTGAGCTGTATGTCGTAGCAAGAGTGGATGAACATTCTTCTAGGTACCATGGTTTAAACCTGCAGAAAGATGTCAGTATTATGAAGACAGGAGTGGAACTCACAAATATTTTTGTCTACTCTCTTGGTAGTCAATTTTAATTTTTAAGTAAAAAATATTTTCATTTATTTTTTAGGAATACTGTATAACTTATGCCAGGACTTGTCATATTGAAGAAAAATACAGTACAGTATAATATTGACAAAATTAAAAGATCGTAATTAAATTTGTTCACAGTGTTGCTGACAGGAGAGCTGATGCGTGTAACATCACTGATATGTCAAGTTAGTCAGCAAGTCATTCCAACACATCAATAAGCCATGAACAAACCTACACAGTATAGTGTACTCAAAAGTGGGAAAGGGGTGTATGTGTAATTACCTAAGTATTGTTACAGTTTGAGAGCTATGCTTGTGGTGTGTGTGCGCGCACATGTGTGCTTATTCTGACCTATGCCATATTTGACATGGAAAAGCATTAATTTGAGCCAAACTAAACCTTGCTAAGCATGCACACAATGCTTTAACAACTATTAAAGTGCAGAATTATTTATATCATCAGAACAGGAAAATATAAACTTTACTTCAATATTTTACCCAAAAAACATTAGTTGAAGTAAAGATATCCTAATGTGTGCTTTATAGGGTAAATTGTGAACAATCACTATTTTATGAGAACAGCAGCATAATACATACCACATCAACTGGACCTCTATTAGACTGCACAGTTACATGTAGCATATGATTTACAAAAACAGCTTTCTCTCGGTCCCCGTAATAAACTTGCATTTGTTCTCAACTCATAATCAGGAAATCCCAGGTTTGAATCCCAAGCTGGACACAAAGGGTTGGGCACATTTCCTTTCACCTATTATCTCTGTTCACCTAGCAGTAAATAGGGACCCAGGAGCAACTTGTATTGAAGATGGACAATACTCAGCGAAAGAATACGAGTCAAGTACTTGTATTAAATTCCCTGCACCTAGAAAATCAGGGTGGAACCCACCCATCCCCGGACCCACTACACAGAGAGCAGGCAGTCTCGTCCCGGAGACTGCCTGTACGTCGTGTTCCTCACCCTCGCTGCGACGCTGACGAGATGGACAAGGTGAAGATGGAGTTGGTGTAGCCATCGCAGTTACAGTTATCCGTGTGTCGTCCACCATTGCCTGATGCCCACACAAAGATGGACCCCTTTCCGTGTCGACCCTGCACATAATAAATAGTTTCCTTGTTAGTTATAATATTTTACACATTATATATATATACATATGTTATTAATAAAAAAGGTTAACTCAACGATTCTAGAATAACTCTTCTCTATATTTCTTCCCAGTAGGGTCCCGGTAGTACAGTTGGGTTTAATCTCCACTCACAATCGAGAATTCCGGGTTCGAATCCCGAGCGAGACAGAAATAGTTGGGCGCATTTCTATCATCTAATGCCCCTGTCCACCTAGCAGTAAGTAGGTCCCCACGAGTTTAATCAGCTTGTTGTGGGGTTGCATCCTGGGTTGGTAATAATTCCCCATTGGGAGGGACCACGAAATAAGCCTATGTGCATAAATACACTCTGGCTGCCTGTCCCCCAACACAATGAATGATTATTATCATTAATTATTATATTTATTGCTTTCTTCTTAAACTGAAAAGGAAGTTGAAAAATTAGTTCTCCAAACATTATTTTTAAATGTTACATGCTAAGAGAAGCATTACATTGATCCCTTCAACATTGTCAAAGGCAAATGGGAAACGTGTACAAGTTAGCTTAAGGAACTGAACATACAGATATAAAGAAGAAGGATGAGCTGAAATAAGGTGTCGGTAGGGCTCACATTTCCATCAATAATGTTTTTCAGGACCCTCTCTTCCGTTTTGCGGTCTTCTTGTTTTTGTAGTAAAAACCGCAAACTTGCTTATGAAAAACTCTCCAGGCATCAAGAAAAAGTGCCTTAAGAGAGACTAATGTCTTCTATGCCTTCACATGCCCACTTGGGGACTGTCAGCCCCAACGATCTCAGTATATAGGCAAGACAACAACAACCCCCTCCCCCCCAAAGGATAGAGGACAGACAAAAATCATAAGATACAACTGATGATTTACTATAAAACCAAAAAAACTGCCAGCCTACTCATGAGAAACTCTCCAAACACAAAGCAGAACGCTTTAAAAGAGACCAACGTCGTCTATGCCTTCAAATGCCCACTTGGGGACTGTAAGCCTCAAAGAACTCAGTATATAGGCAAGACAACAACATCTCTTTCCAGGTGATTAACGATGCATAAGCAACAGGGGCTCCATTAAGGAACATATAATCTCTTCCCACAACCAGACCATCACCAGAGAAATCTTAGCAAACAACACAGAAATCATCGATAGATACAGCGATAGCAGACGGCTTGACATCTGCGAGGCACTACACATCAAGAAGTCAACACCAGCAATCAACAGCCAATTAATGCACAACTATATTCTACCCACTTCAAGACTCCGCTCCAATATAGAAGCATCAAGAAATATGGGCCAATATGCCCTCTGCAGTTACTTCCATTCTTACCTTCAATTTACCCAATTAATACCCATTGTTTCATGTTCTGTCCTGTGTTGAAAGTTTTGTTCACCTCATAAAAAAACTGTTGTAACATATCACCTCACTATAAATGCGGGTATAAAATAAAATGAAAGCTGTTTAAATCATAGTATAGTAAGAACTCTGTTTAGTGTTTGCAGGTTATAGTTGTGTGTGTGTAAACTAAAAGTCTTTGAAAATGTAATAAGTTATTACGAAACGAAACGCGTTCAAGTGTCGCGTCAGACTAGAAATAAAAATGAATTTTGGAGAATTGATTTTTCAATTACCATCAACAGTGAAAAGAAACATAAGAAATATTGAGAAAATTCGTGTTAGAATTATTAATCTTACTTTTTCGGTCATATTTAATAATATATGTTTACAAGAAAGACTGCTACCAAAATATACTATACTGTATATATATTGAAAAGACTTACTAGAATTATTGATCTCACCCTTTCTGTTTTTCTGTTATATTAAATAATGTGTGTGTGTGTGTGTGTGTGTGTGTGTGTGTGTGTGTGTGTGTGTGTGTGTACTCACTTATTTGTGCTTGCGGGGGTTGAGCTTTGGCTCTTTGGTCCCGCCTCTCAACTGTCAAATCAACTGGTGTACATATTTCCTGAGCCTGATGTATGTATGTGTGTGTGTGTGTGTGTGTGTGTGTGTGTGTGTGTGTGTGTGTGTGTGTGTGTGTGTGTGTGTGTGTGTGTGTGTGTGTGTGTGTGTGCGCGCGCGCGTTGCAACTACAAAGAAAAAGTGATTCAGTTATACTTAGGGAACTAAAAGATTGAAACATGAAAAATTAAAAATTAAAGCACTGTCATGTAATCAAATACATTATCAAATAAGTTAAATTCACTCAGTGCTCAGATTTTTCCTTTCCCTTGGTGACCAAACCACCGTACCCTGATTCAAATTGAAATAGGTTTATTGAGGTAAAATACACACAAAGGGATGAGGTAGCTCAAGCTATTCTCACCCCGTTCAGTACACCGTGTTAATACATACACAGACACACATCACAAGCAATAAACGTATTACCGAACATTCTGAGAGATAAACATATACATTTCCTCCGTACCCTGATGACGCCGTTGATAAAGGCCCGCTTGGCCAGGGGTCCCGGCCCGTCGACCGTCTTGCCATCGTCCTCGGGGCCCCAAGATGCCGAGAAGATGTCGATGTGGTCCGGGTTGAGGGAGATGGCCCGGGCCTCCACCGCGTCGTTCACCGTACCGTCCAGCATCCTCACACCTGCAAGATTGTTGTTGTTTTTATAGATTCAGCTACTCAGAACAAGTTCCAAGTAGCACGGGGTATGGTGACCCCGTAGTGTACTTACCTGGCACAGGAACGGTGCTGTGTGTGTCCTGACCTGCACGATTTGCTCCTTAATTAAGATGACCGAGCTTTTCCCAAGGGACCTAAGCTATCTATGCTCGTGTAAGTTGGCAAGTCATTTAGTATATCATGTTGTAGAGGATATGTCACGATAGACGGGAAGGTTGCAGTCGCGCCTCCACAGATCTCCAGTATCAACTCTTGATACTGGTAATGGCTCAAAAGGGCCACCACTTACTGGCTATTCATGCCCGTGCCACCTTTTGGGTGGCTTAATCTTCACCAATCATCAATGTCACGATAACAAATGTGCAGAAGGCATGAGGGCAGCAACTTACATCCATTTTACGACCTATTAAACCCGCCATGCCGCCTCCCCCCCCCCTCCCCGACAAATTGAGTTTTTCACTCTTGTTGCCATAAGAAAATATAGTCCTTTTCCAACACTTTAAGCTTTATTATAATTAAATAGAATAATAATTCAAAAAGTTACCCCAAATTAAAATTCGGCACTTCAAGCTCCGCCTCCATATGTAACGCCCTCACATTAAATCATGAGGGATTGTATTTCACGTAAGTGGTAAAGAAGCTGTTGGAACACGGTGAGGCCATATTGATAACAGGTTAAACATATTCTTATATAAAGTTTGTAAACAATACACGTTGGACATTCAGGAATATGATCTTACCCTTAAGATCAGGAATATGACCTTACCATTAAGATCAGGAATATGACCTTACCATTAAGATCAGGAATATGACCTTACCATCTTACTATGGAATTCCCGGATAATGACCATTGCTCAAACAATTATGTATTAGCGATAAAACCTACCATTAATGTATAATGACTTACTGGAAATATATAACTCTTGAAATAGAACATTCTCTGTAACTAGCTGACATGTAACTATAGGGTGTGAAGGATAGATGAAATTGTCTACGTAATAATCTAAGATGAGGTCTGATAATAGACCTTTTGTGCCCTCTGTAATGCTTTTTGCGCTACCGCTCACAGGATGAGTATGGGGTGCACAATAAACTAGCCGCCTCCGACGGCAACAATAAAAAATACACACATTAAACATTACATTAAGATGTTAATGAATACAAACATATTAAGATGTTGAGAATGCAAACATATTAAGCTCGGGAGTTGAACAAACATTGGATTAGCTATAAGTAAATCACAGTACTGACGATGAGGCTTCACTCCCCCCCCCCCCCCCCGGTTGGTGTGAGCCTCTTCCCTTTATTTTATTTTTATTTTTTATTTTTATTTATGCATATACAAGAATGTACTTTCAAAATACTACTCATTGGTAAGGGGAGGACGCCATGGGAGAGTCGAGACCTCACCACCCAGACACAGAATGACATCAAATCTACCGTTATTGAGCCTTTTTTTCCTGAAACCTTTCACAAGATCCTTGCATACCCGGTACACGTCTCAGCCTTGACACACTGGCTACTTTCACAAGGGGATCTCGGATAAATGTTTACTGTGCACTGTTGCCACATATTCATTTGCACACACCTCTCACTCCTATACAGACTTCACCGTCCCTTGCTCCAATACATTCAAATAATTAACCTAACGAGGGTAAACAGAATATTAACAGGCAAGAAGACAGACAATGAAACTAACGCACGAAACTTGAAATGCTTCCTCTAGTGGGTGGCAGCAGCTCAAGCAAGCCGCACATAGCTTGACTTCCATCCCAGGCAAGCACAGGTGCCATTTAGTGCTGATTCAGTCAGCTATCTTCAGTGTTGCCGTAAGAAAATATTAGTACTTTTCCAACACTTTAGGCTTTATTTTAATTAAATAGGATTAAAATGGTCATGTCCACGTTATTTATTTTTGTTTTTTTCAGGTATAGTTTTCATTAATCTATGGAACCTGCTTTATTAACCCCAAATGGCACTACCTACTACAGATTAGATACAACAGTTTTAACTGTTGAAGTGTACTACCGTTAACTAGTTTAATGATTTGTTAACATTTACACAAACAAGATTGACACTATTAGCTCATATTTGCAACAGAAGCCAATATATATTTAAAATAATTCAAAATTGCAAATATCGATCCAACTTTACGTTATAATTATCAGCTTAAATTATAACTGTAATTTACAATATCAATAAAGTTTTCATATGGAATTGAGACTTATCAGCCCATTCTCAGAGCTAATCCATTACCATGAGACAACCCCCCCCCCAAACAACCTAGATAGTTATCTAGATATTTGTGAAAGTCCGAAAGTATTATGGTTCCAATAATAGTCTACTTGTAAACTGTAAAGTGAAACTTTGTCTTAAACAGAATATTATCATGTTACAACTTTACTGTATTATAAATAATTGGTTTAAAATATAAAAAAATTATGTCCCCGAACTCATTTTCTTTGGAACGGTCTGAAGAATTTGGATTTCTATAAATGAAATTCTAAGATATACTTAAAGCAGTTTTCGAATTCCATATTCCACATTTGTGTCAATAATACACCATAGTAACAGAATGAAACCTAGCCTAACCTGAACTTAACCTAGCCTAACCATGAATAGAGTAGTTAATAGCAGTAATTACATAGTGATTTTGAATCCAGGGGATCTCCCTGAGTGCAAGTTGGCTTGTATGCCAAAAGTTTACACCGTCAATTCCAGCTTACATTATAAACCAATATTTACATTGTCAAAGAAAGCTAAAGCTAATTACTACAGATGACACGAAATATAGTTGGTACGAACCACAGATAACACGAACCACTCACTACATACACAAACCACAAATAACACGAAAATACAACTGGCACAAACCACACCTGACACTAACAACAACTAACAATACATCTTCACACAATCAAACCACAACTTATTTAAGTATAAAAGAGAATTTATATCTACGGTCCGAGTCCTGACACTTACGGGTAACCCTTATTAAACTTTCAGTCTCAATGGGACCCCCTCCCCTTTTAGGGTACTTTACCCCAGTACCCCCCCCCCCCCTTTAAGGGTAGTCAGCTCCAATGCTCCCTTTAAAAGTAGTTAGTCCCCAATGCCCTCATGCGATTTTTTCCATGAAGTGTGAAATATCTGGTGCAATTCCCCCTAGAGTTTTGAGTGATTGTAATAATATATTTTCTGAGACCCCATACAGTTGTTTCCGTCTTAATAATTAATTTTCTGAGAGAAGAGGGAGAGGGGAAGGGTGAAGGGGGGTCAAGGAGATGATGGGGTGAAGAGTGGGGAAAGCATGGAAAAGAGGGGGGGGGGGGGGCAGAGACTTATGTAGCCGGCTACCCTTTCTATATATAAATGGCAATATCTGTCTGTTCGAGGTTGGAGTGAGGGAGGGTAGGGGGGGATGTGGAGGAGGGGAAGATGGGGGAAATGAGAGGGAAGGAGAGCGTGGAAGAGGGGGGGAGGGGGAGGGAGGGAGATGGAGAGGAAAAAGATATATATATATATATATATATATATATATATATATATATATATATATATATATATATATATATGTCGTACCTAGTAGCCAGAACTCACTTCTCAGCCTACTATTCAAGGCCCGATTTGCCTAATAAGCCAAGTTTTCCTGAATTAATATATTTATTATAATTTTTTTCTTATGAAATGATAAAGCTACCCTTTCCACTATGTATGAGGTCATTTTTTTTTATTTTGAGTTAAAATTAACGTAGATATATGACCGAACCTAACCAACCCTACCTAACCTAACCTAACCTATATATCTAGGTAAGGTTAGGTTAGGTAGCCAAAAAAGCTAGGTTAGGTTAGGTAGGTTAGGTAGACGAAAAAACATTAATTCATGAAAACTTGGCTTATTAGGCAAATCGGGCCTTGCATAGTAGGCTGAGAAGTGAGTTCTGGCTACTAGGTACGACATATATATATATATATATTATCCCGGGCACCGCCGGGTACTTTATATTTATTCAAATCACGATAGGATTACATATATATTTGGAGAGAATACGGGGTTGCAAGGGAATGGTATGTAATCTTGAGGTTATCTTGAGATGATTTCGGGGCTTTTAGTGTCCCCGCGGCCCGGTCCTCGACCAGGCCCAGGCCTCCACCCCCAGGAAGCAGCCCGTGACAGCTGACTAACACCCCAGGTACCTAATTTACTGCTATGTAACAGGGGCATAGGGTGAAAGAAACTCTGCCCATTGTTTCTCGCCGGCGCCTGGGATCGAACCCAGGACCACAGGATCACAAGTCCCACGTGCTGTCCGCTCGGCCGACCAACTCCCTCCCACTAAGTGTGTAACACTTAACTAGCTGTGGTAATCTGCATAACAGATGCCAAGCAGTCATACACTATGCCATTAAGTGAAATGAAGAAAGAATTAGAGTGCTGTGATTAAAGTGAGGAAGATAGATCCTTATTAATTCAGCCAACCGTCGCCGGCTGGACTGGTTAGTGCTACCTCGGTGAGCAGAGCGCAACGGTGTCATATCTCGCCTTGACTCTACAGGGACGATGGCGTCCTGTACTTAGATCACTTAAGTGTTGTGGGAGTGTGTTGATGTAGGGGTTATTGATTAAGCAATGTAGGGGGATGGTTTGTGACTAGCTGATGGAGTGAAGTTAATGTTGTAATGCAAAGGACGGTCAATAGCGGTTCTACATTTGGCACCAATCAGGTGCAGAACTGTTGACCAGACCACACACTAGAAGGTGAAGGGACGACGACGTTTCGGTCCGTCCTGGACCATTCTCAAGGCGATTGTGACTTGAGAAAGTATGTGACAACATACTTTAGCTACGTTATTGTGACTCATCGCCTGCAGGTGCAGAACTGCTTGCTGGATGTTGAATCCTCAGTGGTTGAGTGGACTCCATGGTGGTCGGTTGTGTTGCGACACGTCGCTTTATACCTTTATTGTGTAAACATTAATACTGTGTTGAGAGATTAGGAAGTACTCTTAAGAGACATTTTACAGTGTCTTACATATAGTATTTTACATAATGAATACTTGTTGCAATTAAGTGTTGCCACTGCTCTTAATTTACTTAATTTAATTCCTTTGCTGATAAATGGACTACTGACATGTCTTAAGTATTCCTCAGGTGCCTTTAATTTCACTCGTTCCTGCAAAATTGGAACCGAGAACTTGCTAACATCTTTGTGAATAAGCTGTAACTAATACTAACACCAATACTTAACATCGAGATGAGTGATATAGTTACTTGTCATAACGGCCTTCAAGGACGTCCCAAACATTCAGAATAATGTATACATTAATATTTGAACATTTTTAATATCAAAATTCAAACAATAAAAAACTGTTCTGAATTACGTTCAGAATATTAAAGTGTTAGAAAAGACAAACCAATACTCGAAATACTGTGACATTCAAGCTTAGTTTTAAGAATGTTGGAACGAGTCCAACACGGGATCACTATACGAGGAACCACGTGCATTTGTTTTTGTATTGGTTAAGGTTGATGGGTGATTGTTGTGGTCTCCGAGCCAGCCAGGAGACACGTCAGGAGGATCCTATAGTGTGATTACCGGCGTGTTGACCTTCATGGGGTCCCAGGTGGCCCGGGCCGTTGTCTCTTCAACCTGTCCTCTTAAAAATAACGTCACTTTTGGCTCGTAGGCGCGCTATGGCCAAGTTTGGACGTAATTTGAAATGAAATCGACTCACAAAAGTGACGTTCTGTTCCGTTTTCTATTTGAGTCGTCCGGCGTACGCGCAGAGGTTAGTCTCTTGACCTTCCTCTGGGTGGACCATTTATCCCTTCAACCTTCCTCTGGGTGGACCATTTATCCCTTCAACCTTCCTCTGGGTGGACCATTTATCCCTTCAACCTTCCTCTGGGTGGACCATTTATCCCTTCAACCTTCAACTGTGTGGACCATTTATCCCTTCAACCTTTAACTGTGTGGACCATTTATCCCTTCAACCTTCCTCTGGGTGGACCATTTATCCCTTCAACCTTTAACTGTGTTGACCATTTATCCCTTCAACCTTCCTCTGGGTGGACCATTCATCCCTTCAACCTTCCTCTGGGTGGACCATTCATCCCTTCAACCTTCCTCTGGGCGGACCATTCATCCCTTCAACCTTCCTCTGGGCGGACCATTCATCCCTTCAACCTTCCTCTGGGCGGACCATTCAACCTTCCTCTTGTATACATTAATAATGTACTCGAAACTTTGCAAATTAAGACAGCTACAAATGTACAACCATTAACGATGAATTTAGTTGTTGAATATGAAGCTGTCATAGCACACATAAGATTAAAGTTTACTCGAAAAGCAACAAAATCCCTCTCATTATACTCGAATTCTTCCATTAAAAGTTCCTGCCATCTTTAAACTGTCCTGCCTACTTACATTTAATTAGACGATACCTGTTATAGTAAGTTACGCAGGAAAATAAGAGGCTCCTGTTAAGGAAAATAATAATAAGAGGCGGCTTTTATGATGTAACCCACCATCACCTCACAGCTGGTCACGTTTCTATACCAATACTGATAGCCTGAGTAAGCTGGTGCAGCCTGATAACGCTAAACACTCATCTTTGATAACAGCCTGACCTCCACACACTTAATGCAGCGACAACACGACCACACTGGGGAGTCTGCTTGATGCCTGCTTGATGCCTGCTTGATACCTGCTTGATGGGGTTCTGGGAGGAGTTCTACTCCCCAAGCCCGGCCCGAGGCCAGGCTCGCCTTGTCTGCTGGCCTTGGTAAAGCACCGCGATATAAGCGACACTGTCCTTCACCGGTAATCAAACCTGGCGGTCATATAAGGACACAGAACCGATAATATTGTCGGTTTAGCAGGACATAATACGATTTAAGGCACAAGTTGAGTCTTCTAATTCGTAATCCTTATTTTGCTCTGTTTGAACCATTCTGTATCACTTGTCCACAAGAGATGAGCTAAATTCATAAATACTTGAATTATCTTTATTCACTCCATGGAGATCAAAAGAAAAACCAAAAACATTGACTAACTTTTAGTAAATATTAGGTCATAATTACTAAAAGTTCATAATACTTCAAATTCTTTTACGTATATACACCTGCTAGAAACCTTGACTTGGGCGGTAAATGTGAGAAAATGCTTGGCCACCAGTAAGTATGGATAAACCAATATTAAGGCCACCAATATTTAGGTCCACCTGCACACCTCGCCGCCCGTTTTCTGTTGGGGACTGAAGCACCAGCCAGTGGTAATTTCTGTTTACCAATTTGATTGGCCTCCCTCTTAAGAAGAGGCAAATGTTCTGTCGTAATACGCGTATTTGCGTATGAATACATATTTGTATTCGTATACCTCATATTAAATTGTAATGAATGTAACTATTCGTGATACTGAATAACACATGTGCAGAATTCAAATTAATCCCATCTGTATGCAAGAATACAAATTGGTGTGAAGCTGGAATTCAATGATTGTGGGAGTTCTGGTGATTTGCTTGAGAGTTGTGTATCCTGGGCGACCACCTCCACACTTGGCCGCCAGCAACACCTTGCTTATCACATACTTGGTCCAGGAGAACAGGTATAACTGTTTTAACATCATTAATACTGTGCGTTTTATTTTAGAGGGAAGTGGCCTAACTTTAGCACGGATGAAAACAAAATTGTGCCGCGGATATTTTATAAGTAAATTGTACTGTGAGAGAAGAAAAAGTTATCTGGATGATAAAATTAAATAAATGGTTTCAAATATAAAATAAAGTTACCTGAACCCCTAGATGGGGTTCGGGGAGTTCTACTCCCGAAGCCCAGTCCGGGTCCGGGCTTGACTTGTGAGAGCTTGGTCCAACAGGCTGTTGCTTGAAAGGGCCGGCAGGCCCACATATTCACGACAGCCTGGTTGGTCCGGCACTTCTTGCAGAAAACTAGCCAGTTTTTCCTCTAAGACTTCCAATTTTTTCAGGCAATATTTCTTATACTTGCTGAGAGGATATTGAACAGCTGTGGACCTCTGATGTTTATACAGTGTTCTATGATTGTGCCTATGGCACCTCTGCTCTTCACTGACTATTCTGCGTTTCCTGCTATCGTTCAACTACAGTATGAATAAATAATTTGGTACCTGTCTCGTCTCCTTACTAGATAGTACATTTTGAAAGCCTTGAGAGGATCCTAATAGTTTAGGTGTTTTATCGTGTCTGTGCATATGTTCTATGTCTGTCGTGTTCGTGTCTGCTTGTGTCTGTGCATATGTTCTATGTCTGTCGTGTTCATGTCTGCCTGTGTCTGTGCATATGTTCTATGTCTGTCGTGTTTGTGTCTGTGTATATGTTGGTATATTTATCGTGTTTGTGTATATGCAGTATTAGCATTGTGATGGGATCCCTGGATTTAAAGGATCTCGTAATCCACCCTGTGTCATTTTTTCTAGCTGATGTTATATTTCCTTGATTAGGCTCCGTAAAAATTAGGTTGTCAGACATCATTACTCCCAGATCCTTTGCATGTTGCTTTCCTACTTTCCTACTCCATAAAACTGAACTTCTGATCACTCTCTCAAAAACTTTTATTATGTGGGGGTTCAAGTACGTGTAGTAGGACAATAAGATACATCTCGAAAGGATTGCGTAGCTTAGGCTATTTCTACCCTCCATTATGTGGGAGGTTAGTGCGACTCTATAATTCTTAGTTAATGATGTGCTTAAGAGCTGTAGCTGCTGATCTAAGCGCTTCTGGTTTCTCCCCAGTAGCCAGGCTCTTTCTCCACGCTAGAGTGCCTGTGCTACTGGCACTTTGCACTTCTTTATAAATATTGAGTTCCAGCAGTTTGGACCCGGCGCTGAGTCCATGCTGTCGATTTCCCTTCAGTTATTTATCACCTGTCTAGCGCTACTGTAGAGTGACCAGACACACCCGTCCTCACGTTGTGACAGATCTCCTTGTTGACAGGCACTGGCTTTACATTCTAAACTATTCTCTCTACTTTCCTTTGCACCATTTATATTTGGTACGTTTCCTCTGCTAATATCACTCATCGTTTGTTCGTTTGCTCGCTCTCTCTCTCTCTCTCTCTCTCTCTCTCTCTCTCTCTCTCTCTCTCTCTCTCTCTCTCTCTCTCTCTCTCTCTCTTCACACTCACCGCCGATGCTACTGTTGTAGGCTACGCCGACGCCGCAGTAGTTGTTGAAGGCGACGGCTGCCACCTCGCCCGCGCACCGCGTCCCGTGACGGTTGTCACCGTTGTCGCGCGGGAACGGGTCTGGGTCGCTGTCGTTGATGTCCGTGGACGCCAGTGGGTCCTGCAGTGATCAACAGGAGAGACGGAGACGCTGTTAGAAAGTGGTGATGGCTCTGGGTAAACTGTAGTTAGTGAAGAGGTTAATGGTTGGGTGGGAAGGGGCAAATGGGAAAGTGAAGGGGATAAAAAGGGAAAGGAAGGGAGTTAAAAGGGGGAATTGAAGTGTATGGGGTGGAGGCATGGATGAAAAGGAAAGGGGTGAAGATTTACCCATTCACTCAGGTCAGAAGAATCTGACCAGAAATGAGGAGAACGTGAATATACTCTACTAGTAACTGCCTGCCACCTTTGGCACACGAACTGTCACTGTTCATGTTCGAAATGCCACCTTTTACTTACGAATTATTATATATAATGTACAAATTGTCACTTGATGTATGAATCGCCATAATTTATGTACGAATTATCGCCTCTGGTGTACGAAAATAATGAGTATCGGACTTTCCCAATATCCTAAAGTTAATTTGCCGCAAACAAGCTTAAATTGGACGGCAAAATATTTTAGATTTATTGCAGGGATGGATGGAAAGACGGAGAGATAGAAGGAGGGATAATTGGAAGGCTGGAGAAACGGACGGATGAATTAAATTTTTAAATTTTGCCCCGAGGGGCGAGTTTATTGGGCACTCATCTTGTGAGTGGACATGCCGCCGTAGCAGCATGTACAACACTCCCCAATAGGAAGAAAACCCGCTGGGTTGTTCATCCTGTCACTTGTACCCAGACACAGCTGGGACTTGCTTAACTGTCTCAAGTGAACAGCTCCTCAAACAAGAAGATTAAACGGACGGATGAATAGGTTACACGGCATCCATAATAATGTGTTGTTGACATGACATCCATAATAATGTGTTGTTGACATGACATCCATAATAATGTGTTGTTGACATGACATCCATAATAATGTGTTGTTGACATGACATCCATAATAATGTGTTGTTGACATAACAAATAACATTAAATCCTTTGAGTGAGTGTAAGTTTGACATTATTCCAAGACACAGTTTGGGAGAAAATGTGTTTCAAAACTTGAACAGTCTTTAGAAACAGGCTAGAGTACTTGGGTGCATTGATCATTAGTGAATAGACTAGGCTTTATAAAATACTTTAAAGTTTGTGAGCTCAGAAGCGTTATAAGGCTTCTATAACAATAGTAACTGAACGAGCTCGCAGCCTTTACCGGCTAGTAAACTGTTTTAATAAATATAAACTAAGCCACCGTGATTGAGGAAAGATGTACAGGTTTCGTAATTAGACACTTTAGTGCTTGATGAGTCCTGCCCTCACCAGTAAAAACCACCGTGTCACCAACATCAATATACCACCACCACCACCACCACCGAGGTATAACTCTCCTATATAATCCACACCACCGAGGTATAACTCCTATATAATCCACACCACCGAGGTATAACTCCTATATAATCCACACCACCGAGGTATAACTCCTATATAATCCACACCACCGAGGTATAACTCCTATATAATCCACACCACCCAGGTATAACTCCTATATAATCCACACCACCCAGGTATAACTCCTATATAATCCACACCACCGAGGTATAACTCCTATATAATCCACACCACCCAGGTATAACTCCTATATAATCCACACCACCCAGGTATAACTCCTATATAATCCACACCACCGAGGTATAACTCTATATAATCCACACCACCGAGGTATAAGTGACCTATATACCACCACCACCACTTCTCACACCCCCCCCCCTCCGTCTCTACACCAGCCAGGGTCCACCACTTCACACACCGCTGCTCTCACCTTCCTTAATTGCCCTGTTAAGGGGGTAATAAGAGCCTCGTCTCGTCTGGTGGGCACCTTGGAAAACAATGGAGACACCATCCAAGCTTTGCTCCAGTGCCTGCACCCAGGATTACCCCTGGCACTCCCCCCCCCCCGCACACACACACACACACACACACACACACACACACACACACACAACCTTACCTGTTTACAAGTACAAGTTATCAATAAAACTTTTAAAGATATAATCTTTTAGGTGTCTATACTTTATTTCACCAAATGAATCTAGAATTCATTCGTATATCAACACTACTAAGATTTCTGTCTATTTGTTATAGTCATCACTAAATGTTCACGTCTCTTTTGCTCACGTCTCTTTTGCTCACGTCTCTTTTGCTCACGTCTCTTTTGTTCACGTCTCTTTTGTTCACGTCTCTTTTGTTCACGTCTCTTTTGTTCACGTCTCTTTTGCTCACGTCTCTTTTGCTCACGTCTCTCTTGCTCACGTCTCTCTTGCTCACGTCTCTCTTGCTCACGTCTCTCTTGCTCACGTCTCTCTTGCTCACGTCTCTCTTGCTCACGTCTCTCTTGCTCACGTCTCTCTTGCTCACGTCTCTCTTGCTCACGTCTCTCTTGCTCACGTCTCTCTTGCTCACGTCTCTCTTGCTCACGTCTCTCTTGCTCACGTCTCTCTTGCTCACGTCTCTCTTGCTCACGTCTCTCTTGCTCACGTCTCTCTTGCTCACGTCTCTCTTGCTCACGTCTCTCTTGCTCACGTCTCTCTTGCTCACGTCTCTCTTGCTCACGTCTCTCTTGCTCACGTCTCTCTTGCTCACGTCTCTCTTGCTCACGTCTCTCTTGCTCACGTCTCTCTTGCTCACGTCTCTCTTGCTCACGTCTCTCTTGCTCACGTCTCTCTTGCTCACGTCTCTCTTGCTCACGTCTCTCTTGCTCACGTCTCTCTTGCTCACGTCTCTCTTGCTCACGTCTCTCTTGCTCACGTCTCTCTTGCTCACGTCTCTCTTGCTCACGTCTCTCTTGCTCACGTCTCTCTTGCTCACGTCTCTCTTGCTCACGTCTCTCTTGCTCACGTCTCCTCCATTTGTACACAAATCGCATAGTTCCTTGGTCTCCGCCTCCAAGAAGTGCAGCCTCATTGCTCTTAATCTTTCTTAATCAATTAAGAAAGATTAAGCTTGGTAACATTATAATGTGTGCGGGTTAGATGTAATTGTTAATGTAAAATCACTGCTGAGGTCTGAGCGAAACCGTTTGTGCCCTCTATCTCTAGTGGATGGTGACGTTCTTAGTCTGTCTCCTGTCCTTTGGTCGGTCGAGGTGGGCTTTACAACCACCCCCCGTCGTCTGCCCTCTGGGCTGACAAGAGTACACGCAATTGGTGGATGATGAAATTGCATTTCATTACGATTTCAGCAAGAAAGATAAATTGTGGAGCATTATATTGTCGTTTCTACATTTATCCATCCTTCACTTTCCCCTTGTTTTATACAAACCTCAGGTCACATTTATGAGTCACTCCCTTTCCCCTCGTTCATCAATCTCCCTGTTTTTCCAGTTATTCATTCTCCCATTTTCTCTCATTCGCCCGCGTCTCAGTTTTCTCCTCCCCCTCTTCCTCTCTCCAATGTTTCCCAATTCTTCCACCTTTTCTTGTTACACCTTTTTCCTCTACCTGCCCTTGTCATGTTATCTCACCCCTCTTTTACTTCGTCCCCTCCTTCTGTTTTCCCTCGACACCCTGTCTCCCTGACCCTATGTCACCCTGGCTCACCACTTCCCCTCTCTCCCCCCCTCTTACCCACTCCCCTCTCCCCCCTCCCACGCTCTCCCCTCCCCCATTCACCCCTTCCCCCTCTCGATTCAACCCACGCTCACCCAGACCTTCCTGCGCCTTTTCAGATCAGATTACCTCTCCAGAGGCTCTCCTCTCCCTTCTTCAGCCTTCCTGACACTTTGCTTGGCTTCTCACCTTCCATCCTCGTCCCCCCAGTAAGCTTTAAAAACTTTCCAAACCCCATCCTTGCTATCCCGACCCTCTCCTATCCCGCCGTAACTGTCTCCTTATCATCATGCAAATGCTGGTACCCCCCAACCTTGCAGTAATGCCTCCACTGTTTCACTAACATAATCCACACTGCCCTGGCTTCCCCAGTGTTGATTAACCTAACTAATCTAAGAACTAACTAATCTAACCTCTCTAGCTATTTGCTTGTCTATCCCAAGTTACTCTCGTCTCCCCAGCTTCCAAGACCTTCTTGCTCTATCCCACAACTCTAACAGCCCCCTCAGTATTTTCCTATCCTAGACCCAGCCCTCATCCACATTTTAAGGCTTCCTCTAGTAATTCATATCGTCTCTTATCCATCTCTTTTCTAGCCTTCCTAGAGAAGAGATGGATATCTCTTCTATCTCCAGTTGACCTTTGGTGCCGTCTCTTCTATCTTGATATCCATTTCTTCCTAGAGATGGATATCAAGGCTAGGGGGGGATAGGTTAGTTCTATTCCCCCCTAGCCTTGGTTTATCCTCTCTGCTACCTTCTTCTGGTGTAGTCAGACCCCTCAGCTCCGGTGCCCTCCCTCCGTCTCCCCTCGCGTGTCAGGCACTCCTCTTGCCTCCCCTCCACGTTAGAGGCCAGGGCGGCACCCTCAGCCAGTTATGTTGTGTCAATATCAATCATAACTGCCCTTGTACCGTAGTCCGGCACCTCCGTCTCGCTCAACCACCGCCACCAACACCACACAACCACCAGCTGTTCACTTGAGACAGTTAAGCAAGTCCCAGCTGTGTCTGGGTACAAGTGACAGGATGAACAACCCAGCGGGTTTTCTTCCTATTGGGGAGTGTTGTACATGCTGCTATGGCGGTGTGTCCACTCACAAGATGAGTGGCGCTGCCCAATAAACTCGCCCCTCGGGGCAAAATTTAAAAAATTTAACCACCATCAGCTTGCTGCAGGTACATGGGGGTGTGTGTTGCTCTCCTAGCTTGTGTGAAAAGTTACACAGTACCAGCATTCCTCACACCAGCCGAGATCCACCTGCGCGGGTCAGGTGCTTTTGTAGTGAAGCGCCGGCCTAAAGTGTTGTTGTTTATGATGCACCCCATACTCATCCTGTGAGCCGTAGCGCAAAAAGGATTACAGAGGGCACACAAGGTCAACTGGAGATTATTATATTAATAATTACATCCATCCTGCACACCTTAAAA